CATTACTAAATAGGCAACTTATTGATGATAACAACAGGATAGGGATGAAATAAAAAACATAGAGAAACATATAATTTCACTCTTCAGTTTTACTGATGTAAACCAAGATATAAAACACAGTGGAGAGCATATTGGGCTTCAAGTCAGGAAGACCTGAGTTCTACTGTTGCCTCAGACACTTACTGGCTGTATGACCCCAGGCAAGTTATTTAACCAATCTGTGCTTCAGTTTCCTCTTCTGTAAAAATAGAAATAATGATAGCACCTGCTTCATGGAGCTGTTGTGAGGATCAAATGTTTTTAACATGTGTAAAGTATTTTGCAAATCCTGAAGCACTAGACAAAGGCTAGCTATTATTACTAGTGCCACCAAAAGAAACTAAAAAGCACCTTATTCATCAAACGCTTGATTGAACTGTCAAGTGGACAGATACAGCAGCCAATAACAACAATAAACACAAAGAATAACAAAGAACAGTGAGGAGGATGACAGAAGATTGAAGACTACACCATCTCACTAAACGGAAAGAAGCTGTGGCAAAACTAATTCAAAGAAACCTTGACAAGACATTCAATTAAGCAAAACCATCCTGAGGGTGTGTTAAGGATAACAATGGAAGGAGGGCGACAAATGAAGGAAGAAATGGACATATCTACAAAGATTTTTGTAACCAAGGTTTTTCATCATCAAGGACAGCAGATCTCCCATGCTTTAACCTTTAACATCATGGATGCATTTACAGAAGAGGTAGAAATAGCCCTAAAGAGAACATTGTCAAAGAAGCCAGGTTAGACCAAGAATGCATAGAAGAGACCTATGCTAGGTACAACACAATTGTAAAGGCACAAAGGACCTGATATAAGACAAAAAAAAAAGTAACTGTGATCATATCCAAAGTATCAAACTCTATATGAAAATGTGATGACATACACTACGCATATCATCAATGGCATCCTCAGGGAGAATATTGGTGAGAAACAGGCAGGCTTTCACATGGGATTTCCCCAATGGATGATATCTCTACCACTACATGACTGACTGAAAGAGCTAAAAAGCACAAGAGCTCACTGTGTTTATTGCTTATTGATTATTTAAAACAAAACAACAACACAATTTTATGCAGGAAGGCAAAACACTGCTTTACAGGCTCTCTACTGACAAAACCACAGCTGTGGCATAATCAACAGAGGGCTGGGCTCGAGGCCAGTAAGATCCGGGTTCTGGTTCCACTTCTGATACTGACTGGTAATGTCAATGAAATCATAGTTCTGATCCCTATCCCATACCAAAAAAGGCATAACAACAGAGATAACCTTGATTAATACCAAATGAGGCATAAAACATGGAGATTTGTGCTTGCCCAAGAAGTTCACCTCTGCTGTAGAGAAGAGGTCCAGCGCCAAGTCCAAGTTGAAGAGTGATTCTCTTACAGACAGTTAGGTCCCCCATATGTTCTTGTGTGGAAATGACATTGTGCTGGTTACATTAAGTTCTGGAATACTGCAGAGCCTCCTGAGAGAGATCCATAACCACTCAAGAGAGAGTTTGGCCTAATCATCTAAACAGGAAAAACCCAATAAATGAAAAGTACTTCTGTATAGACGTATTAACTTTGGAATTAATCAGTCAACAAATATGTATTATGTACTAGACAATGATGTGTGATGTTCAATTGTTTTCAGTTGTGTCAGACTCTTCATGAGACACAAAAACGAAAATGAAACAAACCTTGCCCTCAAAGAGCTTACATTCTATCAGGGGAACAAAATACATACAACAAAATAAATACAAGACAATTTTTGAGGAGAGGGCACTAGTTATTGGGGGATCTTGAAAGGCTTAATGTATGAGACAGCAGTCAAGCTGAGTTTTGAAGTACACAAGGGACTCCTTGTGGAAGCGAAAAGGTAGTCATTCCTAGCATGGAGGACAACTAGTACAAAATCACAGAGACTGAAGACGGAGTATTGTGTATGAGGAAGAGCAAAACTGCAGGTCTGGCTTGACCAAAGAGTATGGGTAGGGCACTTTAAAGACTAAACAGAAGAGTTAATATGTGATCCTAAAGGCATAGGAAGCCACTAGAGTTAACTGAATGGAGGAGTGATATAGTCAAACTTGCACTTTTAAGAATATTATATTAGTAGCTCTATGGATTATATAAGATTTGTTGGAAAATGGAGACACTTGGGCCAAGGCTAATTAACAGGCTACTGCAATTATCTAGACAAGGATCGTAGTCATATGAGTAAAGAGAAGAGAAAATATGTGAGAAATGTTATGGAGATAGAAATGGCAAGACCTAGCAACTGACTAGATATGTGAGATGAGAGTAAGGAGTCAAGGATAATGCTGGAGTTACAAACAATCTGCAAATGGATTGGAAGGACAGTGGTACCTGAGATATAAATAAGGAGGTATGAAAGCAGATTAACGTAAAAGATAATTAGTTCTATTTCAGACATGTTGAGTTTGAAATGCCAATATATGAGCTATCCAGTTTTATATGCATGCTGAAGAGCCTGCCTGAAGTTCAGATGAAAAACAAGGGGAAAACACACACACACACACACACACACACACACATATGGAGAGAGAGGTATGTTTATACGCTGGACAGAAAGATGGATAGACAGACAGATAGATAGATAAATATGGAGTAACTGGCATATAATTGAACTCATAGGAGCCTATATAGTCACTGAGAAACAGGGTAGAAAGTAGAAAAAGAAGAGGCCAGAACAGATCCTTGGGGTATACACACAGTTACAGAGCATGGTAAGGATCATGAACCAGTAAAGTAAACTAAAAAAGATCAAATAGGTAGAAGAGCCACTAGAAAGCACTGTCATGAAAGCCTGGAGGTAAGAGGGTAGTCAACGGTGATATGTGTTAAAGTCAGGTCAAGAAGATTCAGGACTGAGAAATGACCATCATATTTGGCAGGCAATTCAGAAATAAGTGGCAATTGGTAGGGGAGTAGTTTCAGTTGATAGCTGAAGTCAGAAGCAATACCATAAGGCTATAAATTGCATATCTATATGTGTGCATGTATGTATATATAGACACATGTATATACCTGACATGTGAATATACATACACATGTGGAATATCCATTTATATGTGTGCATACACATATATGGAATATACGTGTGTGTGTGTGTGTGTGTGTGTGTGTGTGTGTGTGTGTGTGTGTATGGGATAGACAGAACACATAAACAATGAGTTATGCCAAAAACAGGAGGAGGAGGAGTGTGTGTTGGGTTGCTTTGGGAAAGGACAAAACTCCCATTAATGATCCCAAACTCCACCTAGAATGAAAGGTCATATTTAATAGCAACAAAAAAAATTCTACCAGTGTTGTAGTACGGATGCAAGTCATGGAACATTAAAGCCTCTGAACAATTAAAAATGAGTATCACTTGAGAGGGCAATGGAGGGTATAAATAGGCTACAATACATAAAAAATCCAGAACTATAATGTCATCAGAGATGTCATCAATGACAAATAAGGCTGTCATCAGAGAAATGCATGATTGAAAAACACAGGCTAGTCATGGCAAGAGCAAGAGATAAGCACTGGACAGCCCGCCCATGTGCTCCACTAATTGCCTCAAAATGTCATGAGAAATCAAGGAGTGCTACCAGTACACTAGTTGTATTCCCTGTAGGGAACTTATGGCAGGACACAAACAAGAATCACACACAATAACTAGGCATGAGTGGGTTGTGACCAGCATTGCTTGGACACAACCATATGGATGAAATCACAGATCCACTGAAGAATCTGACTAACAGGCAAAAGTTGATATTTATACAGCTAAATACTGATGTAAAATATAGAAATGAAGAGAAACAGTGTGGTGTAGCAGAAGGAATGTAAGAAAGGAAAGGAACTGGATTTTAGTCCTTAACCTTTCAGGCAGCTAAATGACTTTAAACAAATCACTAACCTCTCTGAGTCTAGATTGTTTATTAAAATTAGAGAGCTGCATGAAATTCCCTCTACAACACCCATTTCAACTCCAAAATTTCATGATTCTCTGATTTGAATTATACAAGTTGATATTCTAATTCTCCATTAATAGCTGAGCTCAAAGTACTCTAGTATAATAAAGTAGAAAGACTTCCTGTGAAGGAAACAAAAAGTAAATGAATGGAGAAAATCCTATCCAAATACAAAGATACAAAAGATAACACCAATATCTGCAGAATTCTTTTCTGATTGTAGGCTGCATACTAAAAGTTCATTGATAAAAGTTATTTCAGCTACCTTCTTTCTCCTTGCTGAAGTGAACCAGCAATTCCTGTGCCAGATGACTGACATGAAGTGACAGCCAGACTTGTGCTACTGTTTATCCCCAGTAGCTGTCTCTTTGAATTGACATTTTACATATGCGGTTGAGCATCCCTATGTTGTAGCTGGAACAAGACTAGCATCCACGTGAGACCAAACACTGGAATGATGGCTTTTCAACCCCTTCGGGTGCTTCACTTGTAATACTTGTAAATATTCAAAACATAAAATACACTGGGGAAATATTTAAAAGTATAATCCAAGACCTTAAAAAATGGATTCAGAATATACCATGTGGAAAATGTGTAACAAAAATAATAGTTACACAATTCCCTTGGTTCTGAGACCAAAACATCAATCTTGTCAAAATGTCAAAGAGTTGAGAACTTTATATATTAAAGATTTGTACACAAAAGGGTAAAAGAACTACAAACTTGATCCTAGTTGTTCATCCTTAAGACAGAGCCAGCTGCCAGCTGAATTTCACTAGCTTCAAAGAGTGACACAATTTAGTTTCTACTGTGTTTGTAAATCCTAAGCGAAAACCATAAATAATGATTATCATATAATCATAAGTTTTAAATGTCATTCTGACACTAAAATAATATTTAAAAATCACTTTGGACAACAATTTCAATTTGTTACACTTACAAAATGAGACCTTGCTCTACCTTCCAATGTCGTTCTTATTCATGCTCTCACCTCTCTCTTTAGTTTTTCTTTCCTCAGTTCTATCTGTTTTTGTCGCTCTTTCTGTCGAGGTGAAAGACAGTACGTTGAGTTTATTGGTGATATATTTGCGGACTGTACTCTGCGGCTAGATTTTCCACTCGCTTTGCTTCTTCGTGTGTTAACTGCTGAGCTTGGACGGTATTTGGGATTGGGTGGAGGCTGGGGAAAATAAACCAGCGGTTCACCTGTGGATGTGTGAGTGATAACATGTGGCTTTCCAAGGAGGTCTTCCTTTTTAATCCCAATAATCCCATTGGTAGCTGAGTTGGAAGATCGAGGTGATAACTGCTGACTTTCTATCTCAGTAATGTTGACATTAATGGGGGGCAAAAAGCCTTGGCTCTCAATGTCTTGTAGACTCAGAAGCTCAAACTTCCCGTCTCTCTCCACTAGGATCTTTCCATCCTTATATTCCTCACTACTGCCATTAGTCAGTGAAAGGAGTACACTCTCTGGTCTAAGTTCACCAGAAATATGCAGCTGTGACAGTTTCCCAGACACATCTCTCTCATTTTCATAATCATTTCTGTAACTTTCCCTATCTTCCAGTGGGGGCACTTCCAGATCTACTAACTTGTCCTTGAATTTAAGTTTTCTTTCTCTCTTTTCGTTGACAGGCTCTTGAGTCTCCAGAATCTTGTTAGCTGTTACAATCTTTTCCATGATGTATCGCTTTACTTCCTCCTCCTCCTCCTCCTCATCATCATCAAGATCCTTTTGGCTTTCCATCTTGCTCTCCTGGAATGAGTTCTCACTATCTGAATCAGATGCAGGATCCAAAGGTTGAATGCTAGGTACTGAGATGAAATTATTTCGCCTCGGTGACATCTCATCCTTTGACACTTTGTCGTGGTCAGGAAGCTGTTTTGTATCCTCTCCTCCTTTATCGTCCTCTTTCAGTTCTTGGTTAGTAACTTCTTCCTTTTCACTAGACATCTAAAAAGAAATCAGGTTCTCTTTCAGTCAGATGATTCAGAATTGAGGTTCCCCAAATCAAAATGCAAATTTATTCATTTGTACAATTCAACCCAGCAAGAAATTTCTAGTTATACAACTTACTTTCTCCAGGAGAAAGAGTTACTTATTGACAATTTGATATGACACTCTATGGTGTATAATTACATAACAAAATATCTTGCAATAAATAACATATATATATATATATATATATATGAAAAACCCTTTGAAAATGTTTACTGAATTTTACTTTGGTATTATAAAAGGTTTCACTTAAATGATGAATTAATATGCTTATATTATATATATATATATATTTGTTCTGCTACATAAAGGTGTTAACTATATAATTGTCATTTTTACTTGGGAATTTCCTATTTGTATATTTCTCTCCATTTACAGGTTAAAAAAGAGATTTAAAAAATGTTTCCTCCACATGATTCTCTCCCCTTCAAAATAAAAAAGATATCTTAAAAAATAGTTAAAATGTAACCTCCCTGAAAACAAGACTTCTTAATTTTTTTCCCTTTTGTCCCTAAGACCTGAGACAGTATAGGGCATATAGTAAGTGCTTAATGTGAGTTGATTTTAATTGAACCCTATGGAGGCAGAGTAAATGACTGTGTTCACCAATGCATTTCAGGACAACTAAGTCATCAAGTATTTGATGACTTCTATAGTCATCTTCTCCCTGAATGTCTGAAGCTCATGTTGAGTACATGTTCCCTAATTCCATCATCTTCAAATAATCAATGCTGTCCTCTATTGCACCTCTCTCCCTGAATCCATTCCCCTTCTAGACAACTTCCACACATGGCGCCTATCTTTCTTCCCCACTTTTCTTTTTTTGTTTGTTTGTTTGGGGTTTTTTTAGGCAATTGGGGTTTAGTAACTTACCCAGGGTCACACAGCTAGTACGTGTCAAGTGTTTGGTCTGAGGCCAGATTTGAACTCAGGTCCTCCTGACTTCAGGGCCGGTGCTCTATCCACTGCTCCACCTAGCTGCCCCTTCTCCACTTTTCCATGTTGATTATGCATCAGGCTCCTTAGTCTCAAGAGTTCTTTCCTCTTCTAAACTCTATGTAAGATTCACCTTATATATGAAACCCCTGACCTAATCTCATGATCACAGAGTACTTCTTAACTCCAACCACATCTCCTTATGTGTCATTTTTTCTAGCACCACCCCTCAATACTCACCAAATGTGCACTCTGTTCTCAATGGGATCATTTCAGTATTTAACTTTGCCTTCCCTCCCCTTCACACATACCATTATTTTTGTCCTATACACATTTAGCATCCTAGACAACACAATCAACTACTTCAAATTGCCTTCACTCTAGACTTCCCTTATTTTCCAAAATGTCATCCCTGCTTGTCCCCAATACTCTACCTCCCCCTACAATCTGCTTTCTTAACTCCTACAACTTGGCTACACAGATCTTCCAAAGAAAAGATCATAATTAAATAAACCAGAAACTCTACAGCTTATACCATACCATTAATATATGGTCCCTGACTTTATAATCCTTATTTGTTCTTCACTACCATTTCTCCACAAGTTATTTCAGACCTTCTCCTATAGCCCCTATTCCCATCAATTAAATCTAATGACCTCACCTTATTTCACAGAGACCAAGAGTATTTGGCATGAAGTACACTCCCCTCTTCATCTCCAAGTTTCTTCCCCACTGGTCTCACAGGAAAGTGTTCTTTAAAGCTAACCCCCTTCACCTCTGCTTGGATATCATCCCTCTTCACATCCCAAAACATCTTGCTTCAATCCTGATGCTCTGCTTTGCTAACACCTTCAGTCTTTCTTTCCACTAGCTCTTCCTTTTGTAATCACTATATGGACTCTTCTCCTGGTTCTGCTTTTCACTCTGCATCATTATTAGTTCATACAAGTATTCCCATTTTTCTCAACTCCTAATATAATTTCTTACATCGCAGTGATATTTCATTGCATTCATATGGCAGAATTTATTCAGCTATTCTCAATCAATGGATGCCAAATTTGTGGCCAGTTTTTTGCTACCACTATGTTATTTAAATATACATGTATGTGTGTATATACATATATATATATATATACACACACACATATATGTATATATGTATATGCACATATATACATACATCTATATATCTATATTCTTTACTTCTGTCTTTAACTCTTCCCCCCTCCCTCAAGAGTATATTCCCAGTAATGAGACTGCTTAAGTCAACAGATATGAGCAGTTAAGTAACTTTTGTCAGATCATTCTACATTATTTCCCAGAATTGGGCCAATTGACAGTTCCACCACTGGTGTATTAATGTACCTGTCTTGACAAAGCTTTGACAACTTTGACAATTTCCAATTTGTTATCTTTATAAATTTGCTGCATGTAAGATGAGAAACTAGAATCGTTTTAATTTAATTTGCATTTATTTTATTACTAGTGATTTGGAATAATCTTTCATATGTAATCTTTTATAATTTTTCATCAAATTCTTTTGAAAATCACCTTTTTTGAGAACTATTAGAGAATGATTATTGGTTTGATATATTTCATTATTATACATTGGAGGTGAGACTTGCATTTGAGGTATTTTCCCTAATTAATAATTTTTATTCCTCTATTTATTCCCCTAATTAACAATCTCCATTCTTATCACAGCTACATGGATTTTGTTCATGTAAAAGCTTTAAAATTTTATGTTGTTGAAATGTCTGTTTTCTCCTTTATGATCACATCTGTCCTTTATTTAGCTAAGAATTCTCCTCCTGGCCATAGTCTAAATTTTTAAAGCGGTGACCTTTTGATAGTTAGGTCACCTGTTCATTTGGAACTTGATTGTAGCATAGAGTGGAATTTGTGGTCCAAATCTATTTTCTACTAAACGGCTTTCTGGTTTTCTGAGTGGTTCCTGTCAAATAGAGAATCCATCACCCAACAGATTATTGTTGGTTTAACTGAACATTAAAGCTACTGTTTCTGACTCTTACTTATCCAAACTGTTGTACTGATCTACTTTTCTATGTTTGAACCAAATGTTGTTGGGTTCTTTTTGGTACCTACTGCTTTATCATACAGTATTATATCTGGAAATGTTATCCCTTCTTTATCCCTACTATTTTTCTTCATTATTTCCCTTAACGTTCTAGATTTTTTTTCTTTCAAATGATTTTTGTTATTATTTTGTCTAGTGGGACAAAGTAACTTCTTAGTAGTTTGACTGGTATAGGCTCTTTGGCGCCCTTTTCTCCTTTCTACATCTCTCTCTCTCTCTTTGTAATGTCATCTATTCTCATGGGTTTAATAATCATCTCTATGAATATGGCTCCCAATCCACACTATCTAGCCCTAAGCTCTCTCCTGAGTTCCTATACTGTATAACCAACTGCCTACTGGACATTTTGAACTGGATGTCCCATTGGCATCTCAATTTCAACAAGTCCAAAACAATTCCTAATAATCTTCCCCTCAAAAATACCTCTTGTCTAAATGTCCACATTTTTGTTATGGGTACTACCATCCTCAAAGTCACTCAGGTTCACAACCTAGGAGTCATTTTTAACTCCTCACACACACTCCTACACGCACCAATCAGCTGTCAAGACTTGATTCTACCTCCACAACCTCTCAAGCATCTCTACCTTTCTATTTCTATAGACATGCTCCTAATTCAGGCTCTCGTCACTCTTGCCTGAACTACATGAAAAACCTGGAGAACTGATCTCTCTCTCTCTCAAGTGACCACTGCATGGTGGTCACTTGACCACCATGCAGCTACCAAAATGATTTTCAAAAAGCATAGGTGTGACCATATTTCTTTCTCCCTTGCTCAATTAACTTCAGTGCCCTCTAAGTCTCTCTAGAATCACATACAAACTCCTGTTTGGCATATAAAGCTCTTTATAGCCTGATACCTTTTCAGCACTGTTATACATACTCCCTTTTCCTACACACTGCAGCCTAGCCACACTGGTGTTCTTGCTGTCCCTCCCACACTCCTCCCAGCTTTTCGCCTTTGCTTGGCTGTCTACCATGCCTGGAATGCATTCCCCACCTCCCCTCTGCCCAGTTTGCTCCAATGTTCAGCTCGAGTACTGCCTCCTGTAAGAAGACTGTCCTGATTACTTTGTTTTTATTCTATACATATTTTGTATATGTTTATATACATCCACGTTGTTGCCCCAGACAGAATGTGTTTGTGTTTGTCTTTGCATCCCCATACCTGGCACGTTTCTAGGAGCTCAGTAAATAAATGCTTGTTGACTGACTATCATAAGCCACAGAAGTCTCTCATTTTGAGAGAGAGTATGGTGTAGCAGGGAGAAGGGTGGCCCTGGATTTCACAGAAACCTGGGTGGGAATCTCATACCATGTTCCCAGCTTATTACTGATATGGCCATGGCCATGTAACTTAATCTCTCTAAACCTTAGTTTCCTCATTGTAAAATGGAGTTAATAAGGCCCCTAATGGTTATCTTATGAGGGGATATTGTGGGGATGAGAGCATATACTTAAATAAAACTTATGGCTATTATCATCATTCCTTTTTAAAATTTCATCTGATCCTTCCTTCTCTCCTCTCTAACCACCTTTCTATTAATGATCTTTCTCTCATGGCCACGTCCCAAAGACAAAGAGCTCCCAAGTTACACCTTCCCAACACCCCTCCTACAAATCTCCTTCTCTCTTATCGCACAGAGTCCCTCAGCCTAGCGCAGGCTCTCCCCATATAACTCCTAAACCACTGCAGCAGCCTTCAGCATCTCCGCACTCCAGCTTATTCTCTACTTGGCAGCCAAGTGATCTTCCAAGAGTCTGATCGCATCATCTCCTTCCTCATTAAATCCCAGTAGCTCCCTATTACTTTCAGGATCAAATATAAAATCCTGTCCTTGGTTCTTAAAGCCCTTCGCAACCTGGCCCTTTCCTACCTCTCCAGTCTTCTTATACTTTACTCCCCTCCATACACGCTAAGATCCAGCTACACAGATTCTTTTCCCCAGTGTGCAAAATATTTTAAGAATTTACAGTGTCAAATTGGAAAAACTGCAATCTCCTTGCTCTATACCTTGTACATGACACTCCCATCTCCAGATTCGACACCTTTTACTAGCTCTCCCCCTAAGCTAAGAATGCTCTCCCTTTTTCTCAAACACCTGACTTCCCTGGCCTCTCAGTCTTCCACAGAAGGCCTTACCCAGGAGAAGCTAGGTGGTGCAGTGGATAGAGCACCGACCCTGGAGTCAGGAGGACCTGAGTTCAAATCCAGTCTCAGACCACACACTTGACACTTACTAGCTGTGTGACCCTGGGCAAGTCACTTAACCCTATTGCCTAGCAAAAATTTAAAAAAAATTAAAAAAAAAAAGGCCTTACCCAGTCCCTCTTCTCCATCCCCCCTCCCCCAACCGGTGACTTTCCTCTGAGACTACTTATTATTACACTGTACATATCCTGACTATACAATCTTTGTATACATTGTATATTCCTTACATTTACTTTGTTATTCATATGTTGCATCCCCTATTAGAATGTGAACTTCTTGACTAAGGTACTGTTTTTGTTTCTTTTTATCCCAACCACTCAGTACACGCCTGGCATACAGTACTTAACACGCTTGCTGACTAATTGGCAGGCACTTTATGCCTGCCCCCTTCTATTCTTCACTCTCAACTTCTCCGTCACCCTCCCACCCCTTCGCCCAAATCAAGTTTGTCATCACCAATCCCTTACAACTGTTCTCCAAGGTTCCCAGTTCATTCTTTCTACTCAATCCATGGATTTTTCTCAGCTCAACCTTCTCTCTAAAATACCTTTCTTTGTTTATATATGTGTGTGTGTGTGTGTGTGTGTGTGTGTGTGTGCGTGTGCATGTATATGTATATGTATATGTATATGTATATGTATATGTATATGTATATGTATATGTATATGTATATGTATATGTATATGTATATGTATATGTTAACACCAGGTTTTTTGTTGCACTTAACCACTCACCTTTACAATAACAACTCATTTTAAGGTTTACAAAGAATTTCTCCCACAACTACCCTGTGAGATAGGTAGTCCAAGTATTTTCATCCCCATTTTTCAAATGAAAGAACTGAGACTCACGAGAAGGTAAGTGTCTTGCCAGCAATATGAGCTTGGAATCACATACAGATATCCTGGCTCCAAATCCAATGCTTGTGCCATTACACCAAGTCAAGTCAACAAGCACTTATCGAGCACCTACTGTCTGCCAGGCCTTGGCCGTTCAGGCTTCTCATGTGGTTTCTTTTTCCAGGAGGACATCATTTCATGATCTAACCTAAGTTACATCCAAATCCATGTTGTATACAAAGATCCACTGTATTTATACTTTTCTTTTTGACAGACTTAGTTATGTTTCAACTCAGTGATTCATTCAAAAACCATTTCTTCTTCAATGTATACAAAACATTGTGCTAGGTGATGAGGGAAAGAAAATTATGAAACAGTACAAATATAGTGGTACATTTTAAAAAAAAGATTGTTGTCTATAGTAAATACCTCAAGCATGCCAATGTGGTTTTTTTCCTCTTCATTAATTAACCACTCGAGGTCCTTTTCAAAGTCATCTTCATATTCTCCACTTTCCATCAAATCAGCATCTGTCTTTTCATTCATTTCCTCTTCATTAAAGAATAGTGCTGCCAAATAGAAAAGAAAAGACATGGAAATATGTCCTTATAGGAAAAGGAATCCTGCAAAAAAATCTACAATTTCCAAATAAGGTAATATTGAATACAATGTATACTGATTTCACTAAAAAACAACAACAACAAAAACTAGAAGAACTTCCTGAAGCCTATTCAGAATTCCTTCTGATAAACACACAGATACATGGACCTATAATTATCATGCCAAGAAATGTGAAAGCAAATACAAGCATACCTTGTTTTATTGTGCTTCACAGATATTGAGTTGGTTTTTTTTTAGGCAATTGGGGTTAAGTGACTTGCCCAGGGTCAGCGAGTAAGTGTCAAGTGTTTGGTCTGATGCCGGATTTGAACTCAGGTCCTTTTGACTTCAGGGCCAGTGCTCTATCTACTGTGCCACCTAGCAGCCCCAAGATATTGAGTTTTTTACAAATTGAAGGTTTGTGGCAAGCCTGTGGCAAGCAAGTCCTTTGGTGCCATTTTCCAATATCATGTGCTCACACTGTGTACTCTATGCCACGTTTTGGTAATTCTCGCAATATTTCAAACTTTTTCACTATTATTATATTTGTTATGGTGATCTGTGATCAGTGATATTTGATGTTATTATTGTAATTGTTTTGGGGTTCCACAAACCATATCCATATATGATGGCAAACTTTCGTTGTTGTGGTTTATATGTGGTCTCCCTTATTGGACTGGGAGGTTCTTAAAATCAAGGCTTTTTGAAATGTTTCTCTGTCTCCAGTGCTTCACATAGACCCTGGTACATAGTAAGAGCCTAATAAATGCTTCTTGTCTGACTTGCCAGCATTCGGTAAATTACTGGATGTTATAATATCTTTCAGATCTGCTTTTTCTCTATGCCTACTACCACGATTCTAACATAATCCCTGAATTGACACCTGGGTAGACTACTTTTAAATAACCTCACAATATTAGAGAATCTGAGAATTGGAAAGTCATCTGATTTAATCCATATTGGGACAAGAATCCCTTGTACATCTTATGTAACAGCCAGCTAGTATGATAGCAAATTTAATCGATAAATGTTGTGTGTGTTCTGACTGCTCCACCAACCAGCCATTCCCTTCTCTCTCCCTCTCCTCAGGCCTCTCTATTTCCTGATACACAACAATATTGAAATTAGGCCAGTTAATAAGTATACAACGATCTCTAAGCACTCAAATGAAAGGAATAGTCAATTGATGTGGCAAACTTCATTGCTGTCTTATTTTAAGAAATTGTCAAAGCTACCTCAACCTTCAGGAACCCTGATCAATCAACACTGAGACAAAACCCTCCACCAGGAAAAAGATTATAACTCACTGAAGGCTCAGATGACAGCATTTTTTTTTGTAATAAGGTATTTTTTAATTAAGTTATATACATTGGGGTTTTTTTAGACATTATTGCACAGATTTTTTTTTTGAAGTCTGCCTGCTCATCATTTCTTATAGAACAATAGTATCCCATTATGTTCATATACCACAACTTGTTCAGCCATTCCCCAATTGATCGGCATCCCCTCAATTTCCACTTCTTTGCCACCACAAAAAGAGCTACTATAAATATTTTTGTACATGGAGGTCCTTTTCTTTTATGTCTTTGGATACAGACCTAGTAGTGGTATTCCTGAGTCAAAGGGTATGCACAATAAATCACTTTAATGGAAAGAAAATTATTATCTCTGTACCATTAGATGCCCTTGTACAATTAGGAAAAAAATCTATTATCCTTGAAAGGTAAAGGTGGATTCTAGAGTCTGGTTTGTAAACCCTGCAACACTGGTCATGTTTCAAGAAAGTCTGGTCTGGTATCGCTGTGACACTAACTAGTCATGCAGGTGGACACCAACAATGAGCCTTCCCCAGCAACAAGATGGAAGGAGGGGCTGGTGCTAGCCCTACATTCCAGATTTCCATCCAATCATATTGTTTTCCATCATCTGTGATGCTCCAGACTTTGTAACCAATCATATTGTTTTCCATCTGAGATGCTTCCTGTTCTTTGTCCCCTAGTACTTTTCCAAACTAGGTGAAGGCTCCTAAGTTCTACCTCGTGGTCCATTTTATTGGTAATTGCTAGCCTTACCAATAAACTGAACATGCTTGGAACTTTGTGCTTCAGTTTACCTTAATTTCAATTGCAACACCTCAAATCTTAATTTGCCTCTTTGCATCTTCCATCCATTGTTCTTAATTCCGTCCTCTGGAGCCAAGAACAGTAGTTCTATTACATCCTCTTTCACACAGCAACCTTTCAAATTCTTGAGGTCAGTTACCCTGTCCTCCTAAATCTTCTCTTTTCTAGGCTAAACATTTCAAGTTTCTTCAACAGATTTTCATATGGCATGATCTCAAGGTCCTTCAACAGCACTGTTGCTCTCTCTAGCTACTCTATAGTTTTTCAGTGACTTTCCTAAAACATAGTATCCTGAACTGAACCCAATACTACAGGTGTGGTCTACTCTTTACAGAGTATAGCAGGATTCTCCCCAGTCTAGCTCTGTACCCTGTCCCTCTAGTAGCAAGCTACAGATTTCATTCTCTTTTTTGATTATCATATCAATCATACTGTCGACTCATTAAGTTTGCAGTCCACTAAAATCCCAGAATCTTTTTTAGACAAATGACTATGACTCTCCAGTCATGTACTTTTACTTCTTAAAAAAAAAAATTCAAGCATTAAGACTTTGCACTTATTTATATTAAATTTAATCTTATTAGATTTGACCCAACATTCTATTATGTCAGAAATCTTTTTGGAGAGGCAGCATGGGGTAATGCAAAGATGAGGACCTGTATTTTAAAAAAATCACTCCAGACATTTAATAGCTATATGACTTTGCACAATCTGAGCCTCATTTTCCTGATCTGTAAAATGGGGATAATTACAGTATCTCCCATGCAACACTTTTCTGATGATACTCTTATGGAAAGTCCTCCGTGTAAATTATACAGCACTATATAAATATAATCAGCAGGTGTTGCTATGGAGCAAGGTTTAATTGGGCACTTTTTGTTTTACTCTCTCCTCCTAATAAGAAAGGGATAGGAGGGATTCTTACCAAACCACCCTTTCTCATTCCACTGGTTAGCTCCAGGGCATAGTCTCCCCTTAGTCCACACCATTATTCCACTCCCCCTCTTTACTCAGAAATGGGAAATTTGCTTGAGGTATTTCACAGTTGATGCATCCACACCAGCATAATGTTATAGCAAAGATTCTGATTTTAAATCTAAGGGCACGTGGTTCCCAGATGACATGGTCATCTCTCCTTTCTCTATTTTAGGAAAATATAAAGATTATTAATTATTAATAAAATCATAAACATAATATCTTTTCACATATACAACTCATGGAATCCCTGCAGGTCAAGGGGGAAAACCTTGCTCACCAGAACAAAAGTCTAATCATTACTCTGACCTATTTTTAATTCCATTTGCCCCAATTAATCACTGGTATCCTCCGTTTTGCCCTCCCAGACACAGAATTAACATACAGATGCATCACCAAAAAGTTATGGTCAAGTAGTTTGTATGTCAAGGAAAAATGTTTTCAAAGATGCTAATTAAAATTTATAAAAAGACAAAGAACAGAAAAACTGAGGAGTGAACGCCAGAGAGGAAGGGGGAAGCTGAAACACTGCACAGGTTCTTGCAGTCTGCTGGAGAGAAATAATTTATTCACATTGCTCTCACAGTTGTCTCTTTAAGATCAGACGCTAAGTCACAGAAACCATTACTGCTGTGATAAGAGTCCAGCCTCTTTACAATCACCATTGCTGTTTATCCCACTCCCCCCTGGGCACCAATCTCTTGCTCTAGGGGATGCCACCATGACCACTGCTGCTGCTGTCTCTCCTCGGAAACAAAAAGTCAAAAGCTACCTTCTCCCAGTTGAGCACAACCTAGAAAAGTCAGTCTCTCCCAGAGTTAGAAAAAGTTTCTATCTATCCAAAACTATAATTCCCAGGATTCCCAGTTAGGATTTGAACCCTTCTCCTTACCCACAGGGCATCAGTCCAAATATGTCTGAATATCTGCTTATACAAATAGGAATTCTTCTTCCTACTGTTATTACTTCAGTTACTATTATTTGTATCCTGACTCTCCTCTAATCTGTAAACTATCATTTACCAGCTTTCGTGACATATGCACATTGAACAAACATGTTACCTATGTCTTTTTATCAAAGTCAATAATCCAAAAAGACAGAGAGACAGCCTCCCAAGTTCAAACTGAATCACTGATGACTATTCCTTTGTTACAGCCATTCAACCAGCTAATTGCACCCTATCTGGCCAACATTCACAAGACTAGTGTGAAAGACTCTGCCTCTCTACTCAGTAACGGAACTAAAAAGGCGGTACACTGCTAAACTACCAAGAAGTCCTTCCTAATTTTATAACCATATAGCTGTCTACAACTGTTGAATCGGCCTTTATCAAAGAATCTCTCAAAGTCAGAAGAGACCTCAGACTAACCTTCCTACGAATTCCCTCTATATCAGTTGCATCAAACTCAATTAGAAACAGATCCTTGTGGGCTGCAAATTGACTTAGAAAAGCACAAACTAACATTATGTTTTGTTGTATTTTTTTATTTTTGTTAAACATTTCCCAATTAATTTTAATCCGGCTTAGACTGCACTTGGGAGTTTTTCAGGTTGCATGACTTCTTACCCATGAGTTTGACACCTCCACTATGCATCATTTCCACAAAGTTCAATAGAACTTTGCTTGAAGACTTCTAGTGAAGGAAAACCCACTAACTTCCCAAGGCTTTGTTCCACTTTGAGACAACTATAATTGTCAGGAAGTTTTTCCTTATACTGACCCTATATAGTGTGAAGAAGAGAAAATAAGAATGCCACCTTCTCTCTTTTTGTTTTAGGTGGTGAGGAATTTCTTAGGACAAACAACAATGGATGGGCTATCACAGATTGCCAATCTGATGATTTTATCTTTCACCTCCAAACCCACCCCTCTTTTCAAACTTCTTCAGTTACACAGATTCACAGTGTCATCTTAGACTCTTCACTATCCCTCACCCCACAGGGCTAATCAGTTGCTAATCTTGTTTCTACTTCCACGTCTCTCCCATCTGTTCCCTTCTCTCTACACATAATTACTACTCTAATTTTTTACTAGTGGTGGGGTATACATATACACACATATACATATAATGGAGAGAGAATATATAGAGTGTATATACACTGTATATATGTATACATTCATATCATTCATATTATGATATGTATGTGTATAAACATATATATATACATACACACACATACTGGGAATATACACAATTTTTTACTGGTGGTGGGGTATAATTTTAAAATGGACTGCTTTGTACTTTTAAAGCTAATCTTTTATCTACCTTGCTCTCAAATTAGATTCTAAGCTCCTTGAATGGCTATATCTTCTATTTTTTCTTTTTGTATCTTCCAGTGCCTACCTTTGCACCCTGTGGGCACCCAAAAATATTTGCTGGCTGAAATAATGAAATGATAATGGAATGGAACTGAATTAATGTAATAATCAAGACTCTGGGATTAATAGGACTTTTCATGTAGGCTTAAATGTTAAGACTACTCCAGGCTAGAACATATAGCAATAAATTCAAGGTAGTATTTTTCAAATATTTGCGTTCTTTTTTTGGTGCCTCCTAAACAAAATTAGTTCAGCATTTCAGCTCATTTTATGAGTTTTGAAAATAAGTTATTTCCTATTCTGATTATTTCCAACTCATAAAAATTCCTCAGGTATATTTTGGTGCCTCTCATCTGCTGCTAAATAACAATGTAGGTAATACTGATATCTAAATGTAAGCATTATAAACATAATCCTGAATATGCAAATAAAGTCATGCAGAAATTATACCAAACATTCTTTATTATTTCCAGAGTCTTTCCAATGTGAAAATTAGATTACAAAGTTAAAATCTCTACTCAGCATCATAAATACTTGTTTTTAATACTATTGCAATATAGTAAATTTTAAAACACAAAGCTGAACTGAACTCAATTTTGAAACAAATAAAAGTTCCATCCAAACATAAAGACATAAAAATGCAATTATTTTCAAGCAAATTTTAAAGATATCTTCTAGCCCTAATTATTTTCAAGCAAATTAAAAAAGTATCTTCTAGCCCCTGCAGTAAAAAATGAACACAGATCAGAACACACATCCCTTATGTCTTATTCAGATGCGTCACAGGACACTTAACCCCCTTCAGCTCTCTTAATCTTCATCTGGAGTGTACAGTCCATATGGCACACAATCATTATGCTTGAGAGGAGACAGACAACCTTGGCCAAATTCATTAATAATGATGTTCCTGTCTTATTTGTCTATTGTGAGTTTAACACATCTGAATCTCATGGAGTTTATCATTGGCAAGCAAAGATGTGGGTTTCTTGCACAAGCCAACCTTTTCAACACAGATCTTAATTAGAACGGAAATTAATTCCCTCCCTAAGGATGTCTGCCAAATCCCCTAGTCTCTTAGTGGATAGCAAACTACAGATCTTTTAGTTTGAGTCTGAATTATCACATATACACCTGTTTTACAAGGTTTCATTGTGAAGATTCTGATTTTTCATAAGAAGCTGAATCCAACCCCTAGCATATGTTCTAGTCTCTTACAAAGAATTGTAACGGGAAATTCTGGAGTTAAGTAAGACTGTACCATTATCAAGTTGTAAGGTAAAATAAATGGAAGGAAGGGAGGGAAGAAAGGATGAGAGAGATAGAAGAAAGGAAGGGAGGAAAGGAGGAAGGGGAGGAAGAGAAGAAGGAAGGAAGGAAGGAAGGAAGGAAGGAAGGAAGGAAGGAAGGAAGGAAGGAAGGAAGTGAGGAATGGAGGGAGGAAGGAAATAAAGAAGGGAAGGAGGAAGGAAGTAAATGAGAAAAAAGAAAAGGAAGGGAGGAAGGGAGGGAAGGAGAAAAAAGAGGAGGAAGAGAAAGAGAAAGGAAGGAAAGGAGAAAGGAAGAAGGAAAAAAGAGGAAAGGAGGGAAAGAAGAGAAAGAGAGACAGAAAAAGAGAAAGGAAAAAAGAAGGAGAAAGGAAGGAAGGAAAAGAAAAGAAAATTAAGGTGTCATCTTAGGAAAGGGAAAATAAGACTTGGCTCATTCCACCTGGGTTATCACTATCCAGGGCGACTGTCATATGTAAAACTCCAAACCTCATAATTGTGCCCGTGCCATGACAACTAATGACATAAAAAGTTCACATAAAGAACATTTTTTTTAATGTAAACTCAAATTCCCCCAGATGACCTGAGGGCCGGGGATCAGGATGGCTATCTAACTTCGGGCGGTCCTGCCCCGCGGAAGGCTCCCCGGTCCGCCCGCCACGCCGCGTCCCCGCGCTGCCCTCCGCGGGGGCTCGCCTCTTTTCTGCCCAGCCCGCCTCCCCTTTCCCTCCCTGGGCGTCCCCTCCTGCCTGTGGAGGTCAAGGACGGTGGCGGCGGCTGGGGTCGCTGAGATGGAAAGGAACGGGACGGACGGAGGGCGGGACAGGTCCTCTCTTCCTCTTGGCTGTGTTCTGACAGCGAGGCAAGGAAGGCAAGGCTGCACCCGCAGTGGTGGCGAAGGCGAAGGGAGGAGGCGGCCGCGGCGGCGGCTGGGACCGGGATGCCATGGCAACAGCGGGACCCCGCCTCTTCCAGACGGGGACGCCCACCCTCAGTACGGCGCAAGCGCAGACCGCAGCGTCCTCCCGATTCCTCCGTCCGACCAGGAAGGAACTTTCGAGACGCTGTTTCCATGGAGACTGCCAAGAAACATAACCGCGAGGTCGAGGTCGCGGTGGGGGCGGGATTTAATCGCCGGCCATTTAGGGGGCGTGGCAGTCGGTTTCCGCCCTTGTTATTGGTCTCACAGGAAGCCGCTCCACAACTTCTCAACTCGTGTGACTAGAAGCCACTGGTTGGCCCGCCTTTTACCTAAGGGAAGGCCAATTAGGGCTTTTTTGGCGTTAGTCCATTTTTTCCCCTTAATCGAGTCCCCACTTTAGGGTTTGAACGCCGAGCAGCAGAGAGCGGGGCCCAAATAGGGTTGGACGTGACGACTTTCTCTTCAGAAGTAGGCGCGAAATTTACATCCAATTCGTACTGATGCCTTAAAATGTCCCCTCCCCCCCAAAAAAATGCAAAAAGAGATTATTTATTATTATTATTATTACTGCCCCGTTGTTAAAAATAACTCATTTTAAAATAATTGCTTTTCCTTTAGGGAGTCGAATTCTTAAATTAAACATTCTCCACATGCTAGGATAGAATATAGAAGGGGGGGGAAACCAAGAGGATTAAAAAATAATAATTAGAATTACCCAGTTTGGCTGCCCGTAATAGTGATTCTCAGTTTCCTCTGCAGTCCTCTTTCTTCTGCGGTGTTATATGGGAGTGCTTGTTTTAGTTGGTGTCTGTTCATGTCAGAATTAAAAAAAAATCAGAATCAGTACATTGTCCTAAGGTTAAGTAAAATATCTATCAACATGGGTGGAAATTTTTATGGGCATGTTTATTTTAGTCAGTGTCTGTTATGTCAGAATTTAAAAAAAAGAATTAGTACTTTGCCCTAAGGTTAACTAAATACCTGTAATTTATCAAGTTGATGCAATTTTTTTTTCCTTTTCGGGGAGCTCAGTAATGTGTAATAGTAAAAAATTATGTTTGAAATTGGCCAGGAGTATTTTTCTATAATATTTTGGGATGGTTCATGGGGTCTCTTTTGAAAGACAAAATCTGGCTGCCCAAGCCAAAAGGAAACAAGTTCTCAAAGATTTGTTCATAAAGAAAATGATAAATAGAGCTAGGGACTGGATTTTCCCAGGTGAAGAACCCACCAAAACCTGGCAGCACCTTCTCTTCAATTTATAGTTTTAGGAAAGAGCTTAGCACTTAGTGGTTAAGTGTCACCAAAAAAAAAATCTTTTAAAAATGAAAATAGTTTTGAGTCTTTAAAATACCAAAGTTTTTTTTTAAAAAATTTAAATGTAAGGGCCTCTGAAAGAAAAAAAAATAAATATTCTGAAGTCTAGTATTTTATGGCCAGTTTGAAAGTACTGTATTACAACCTGAAAAAAAAAATCAGATTATGTATCAATACCATTGACTTGAATTCTGCTTTGATAACTGGATGATTAATAAGGCAGAATAGATAAGTAATAAAGAAATATGATTAATATTCCACTTGTAGGGCAGCTAGGTGTCACAGTGGATAGAGTGGTTGGTCTAGAACAGGGGTAGGGAAACTTCGGCCTCAAGTGTGCCCTCTGACTGAATCCAAATTTTACAGAACAAATTCCCTTAGTAAGAGGATTTGTTCTGTAAAGTTTGGACTCAGTCAAAAGGCCACACCCAAGGACCTAGAAGACCACCTGTGGCTTCCACACTTCAGGTTCCCCACCTCTGGCCTATCTAGTCAGGAAGATCTGAGTTCAAAGCCAGCCTGCACAGGGATAAAACAGAATAATACTAATCATGATCCACAAAAGTCCCAGACTGTTTAGTCTAAGAACAAATGGTCTTGCATAACAGTCAGCAACCTCTGAGAACATCACTTTAGGAGAAGCACCCTTCAGAAAGCAAAGTACTAGATTAAAGGCACCTTGAGGATAGTTACCAATATCCCCTACAATACCTAGAGAGAAGTTGAGCAGACCATAGGAAGTAAATGTTTTTTGATTGTTTAAATGAATGTTCATAATCATTACAGACTCTGAAAAATGATCAATAATAATAAGTCAATATAATATTGACTGAAAAGTTAGGGAATCATGATTCCCTAATTTCCATTCTATTTCTGTTGCAGGCTAAGAGGTTGAGAGGTTGTGACCCCTCAGACTGAAGTACATGGGTCATCTGGAATGAATTCACAGACTCAAGCATTCTTTAAGCCAAGGTGGCAAGGTTTATTGTTACGCTTTTCAGCGGGCAAGGATTCTTAAAGGATTCTGCAACCTTAGAGAGGTACAGTTAAAGTTTATATATGATAAAATACAATAGAACATGTGCCAAATATGCTAACTAGGGGATTCAGGGTGGGATTAGGGAGTGGTTAAGGAGTGGTCAGTTCTTAAAAGAACATGCACTTCTTGTACCTACTGCGCAGGCATTTTACCCAGAGTTCACTAGGAAAAGCCCACAAGCGGGGCCACACGGAGGTGTGGCTTTAGGCCTGCTACGTCACTAAGTCAACTAGAGTTCAGGGTGACTGAGAGTTGTCCAGTCTGCCACCAATCAATGTCTTGTTTGACAGATAGATGTAGGGAATATACATATGTCTTAAGTCTAGAATACAGTTAATGAGGAGCCCAGGATGTAGATAATATGGTAGGGCGGTAGGATAGTATAGTAGTGGGTAAGAATGTCTTTATGACCCAGTGCAAAGCCAATTTAAACTAATAAATCCTTCAGGTGCTGTTTGGAACTGCACCAGGGAGAGAGATAAGGGTCTTTCTAGGGCCCACTCATGAGTAATTGCTAAGCACAGGGTCCTTGGGCTGGGGAGAAACTGTCAGGGACAGTGTTTCTGAGGCTAGGGAGAAATTGGGGTCCAAGTGCAAGCACTCAAACACAAGCACCCCGTCATTTCTATCACCTGAAGGTTGATATAAGAAAAAGTCAAGGTTTAAAAAGATGAGTTTAATTACATGGATATTTTATTTCTCTGGATTACTACAATGATGCCACTAAAGGTAGGCATTATATATGCTTTTGAATCAATTAAACAGTTGACAAAAAATAAAATAAACTACCATATGTTCTATCTCTGTTTAAGCAACTCTAGTTTCCATAGTTGCATAACAACGAACTACAGAAATGTATATAATCAGTTTATGACAGAATAAAAAGGTATTATTTCATACCAAAGGGTATGAGTAGCATTCTTCTATGATATGTCAAAGTTGTGAAACATTTAGTAATTTCTCATAAATGATGCATATTATAAATTATAGCAGAAAATTATACTTTTAAAAAGTACTCTCTACTTACTTTTTACATCTGCTTTTTGTCCTTGAACACTTGAGTGAATCAGAGATATAATCAGTGTGGGTATTCCTTCTTCCCAGAGCAGATTCCAACTCCTCCGGTCCTTCTCATCCTCTGTAATTTTTGTTAAGGTCTTTCCTTAAATCTGCCATAGAAGATTCACCCAATAAGTTGAAGGACTTCCTATGGTTTGGTTCTTTTAATATTTTGTGGGCATTTATGAAATATTCACTAACAGTCTTACTATAATCAGTCTTTCTCCTTTTTCTGGTAATACATATTCTTGTAATAATAATGCTTTTATATACTACATACAACTTTTAAATATATATATATATGTATATATGTGTACATATATGCATATATCTAAGCAAATTAGAAGGGATACAAATAAGCATTAAATCTTTGCTCCAAGTTTCTCTGATAAAGGTTTCATTTCCAAGATATATAGGAAGTGATTCAAATTTTTAAGAATAAAAGCCATTCACCAATTGATAAATGGTCAAAGGATATGAATAGGCCTTTTTCAAAAAAAATCCAAGCCATCAATAACCGTATGAAAAAATGCTACAAATTACTAATAATTGTTGTTGTTCAGTTATTTCAATCATGTCTGACTTTTCATGACCCTATTTAGGTTTTTTTGTTTATTTGTTTGTTAGGCAAGATACTGGAATGGTTTGCCATTTCCTTCTCCAGCTCATTTTACAGATGAGGAACTGAGGCAAATAGGATTAACTGACTTGCCCAGCTATTAAGTATCTGAGGCCAGATCTGAACTCAGGAAGACTCATCTTCCTGACTCCAGGCCCAGCACTCCATTCACTGTGCCACCCAGCTGGAAGCTATGATTGTGATTGTTTTATGCTGAAAATGGCTTAGTGGTTATCACTAGTTTCTTCTGGGAATAGCTTCCCCCTGCTACTCCTTGATTTCAGCTAGATTTAAAAATCCACCTACTCAAATGCATTTTGGATCAATTCAAAGGATAAATCACTAGCTCTGGAAGCAGAGGGTGTGGAACTAGATCCTCCCTTTTACACTTATTACCTGTATGACTTTGGGTGAGCCTCTTAATCCACTGGACCTCAGTTTCCTCATCTGTAAAATGACTGGATTGAAATAGATGGACTCTGAAATCCCTTCCAAGTCTAGATCTATGCTATTGTAATCTATGATTTTATCTATGAAGGTTTCAGCTATAGCAAAGCAGATCCTAAGTGAGTCTTGTCCATTAACTACCATAAGTTGATCATAGGGAAGTCCACCCAATGTACCGAGGGCCTTTCTCACATTTAAATTGCAAGGATATCAATAGAATATGTGGGTTGTTCATTGGTAATCTCTTGATCTCACCACATAGTCTACCTTTTTTTTTTGTTTGTATCTTTCTTTGTATAGATTTTTGCACATACATAAGCCCTATTACTGTTGAATAATTGACGTGGTCTCAAATGACACCTCAGAGGCATGCTGTTAAACATTTCCTCCCAATTACCACTATTGTCCAGTATCTAAAGTACAGAGGAAAAAACAAACATATGAACAATGAAAACATTTGCACAAAATTAAATAAGCTATTTTACATTGTGTAAAGACATAAGAAAAGAATACTTTGATTTCAAGAGTATGAAATATATAGCTAATTGGCATTTCAAGTTAAGTAAATACTTAGAACACTTAAGCATGGAGATGAGATAAACAGTTAAGTGCCAGCAATGGGAAAAACATGACCATGCATGTCTTCTATGGTCAAAGAATATAAAATCTGTACAGAATAAATGGATAAAAACATCATACTAAGGCCATGAATTAGAGCTAGCTCTATTTCAATAAAGATTCTAAGATTTCACTACATGAGTCTGTCTTCCACCAATGCAGATAAATAACTCTTCCATATCTTATTAGACTTTAATCAGTTGCCATGAGTGAAAAAAAAAAATCTTGTCATTTGGTGGCCAGCCATGTGTGGGGTCTTGCTGTGAAACATGCATGGGGTTGGTCTTACTCTCTGGTTTCTTCCAATGGGCCCTTTGCTAAAGGATACTTGCAGTCAGAGAATCCTGGATGGTCCCCATCACTTGGGGCTTGTCACTTGGGGCTATGTCAAGGGCAGTTGGTGCCTAAAGAGAAAAAGAAGCCCACTCCATAGGCACAAATCAGAGATTATAAGAACAGGTTTGATTCTGTCTCCTGAGGGCCAGGATTTCTCAGGGCTGAACCTGCTACTCCATGTGAGTCTTGAGTGAAAAACAAATATAGGGCAGTTTTTGAATGGAGGACGCTAGGACCTGGGCCATCAGGAAAGCCTTTAAGCAGAAGTTGGTACTTAAACTGTCTTCAAGGACATGAGGTTTTAAAAGGCAAAAGAAGAGGAGGGAGTGCATTCCAGCCTGGGGCAACAGCCAAGGTAAAGTTGAGGGGAAGGGAGATAGGGAGTATTATGTGTGAGGAACAATAAAGTAGTTTGGCTGGATTGTAGCACTGTGGAAAGGCTGGAAGAATTTTAAATGTCAAATAGAGGAATTTATATTTTATCCCAGAAGCAAGAGCTGTTGGAGTTTATTAAGGGAGTGGCAGGGTCAGATTAGCATTTAGGGTAATAGTCCTTTGGCAGCCACGTGGAGGATGAATTAGAGAGGGTATAACAGTAGAGGCCCGGTGAATAAAGAGAGGGGGACAGGTGGAAGCTTTCTGCTGTGGAGGTAAAATCAATATATTTTAAGAGAGGTGGAAGGGGTATGTATTTGTAATAACAGGATCATAGGATGATGGATTTAGCACTACAAGAGACCTTAGAGGTTATCTAGTACACTACCCTCATTTTAAAGATGATGAAATTGAGGTCAAGGGAAGTTGTGATTTATCCAAAGATGTACAGGCCAGTGGCCAGATTGGGATTTGAATTCAAGTCCTCTGACTCCAAATTTAGTGTTCCTTCCACTCTGTCCTGCTGTCTCTTGCCAAACAATTAGATATGGAGGGGGGTGATGAGGTAGGGGGAAGAATCAAGGAGATTCCAAGGTTACTACTATATTGGGGCAGCTATGTAGCAAAGTGGATAGAGTGCCAGGCCTAGAGTCAGGAAGACTCAAATCTGGCCTCAGACACTTATTAGCTGTGTGACCCTAGGCAAATCACCAGGAGCTCCCTACACCCATAAAATCACAAGTCCTGTTCTTATTCCCATTTACTATGAAGATAATGGTTCATCCTATAAAACGGGCATTAGCCAAGAACAGTCACCTACTAATAGTATTAAAGGATAGCTGGGGGGCACAGTGCATACAGTGCCAGACGTGCAGTCAGAAAGACTCAACTCCCTGAGTTCAAATTTGGCCTCAGATACTTACTAGCTGTGTGACCCTGGGCAAGTCACTTAACCCTGTTTGCCTTAGTTTCCTCATCTGTAAAATGAGCTGGAGAGGTAAATGGCAAACCACTCCAGTATCTTTCCCAAGAAAAACCCAAATGGAATCACCAAGTGTCGGACATGACTGAAATGACTCAACAATAACATCATTATTATGTTCCCATGAATCATCAGGAAAACCAAAAAGTGGTACAGTCACTGGCTCCCCTCCTTACTAACTGTGGAGTAACTTGGTCTCCTTGGAATGTTGGATTCTCTTTGCTCTTTTCTTCCCCTGTCTTTGTGACACACCTCTGATCTCTTAAAAGATAGTGCTTTCATTAGCTCCCTCTTCTTTGACAGCAGGCTAAAGGATCCTCTCTTCTGCTGTAAACAGGACGGTGGGTAGGAGTCTGAAGAATCAATAACACTGTTTCTGTTTGTAGCAGAGGAGGGGATCCTATAGTCCAATGCAAAGGAGGAAAGAAAAGGCTAATGAAAGCAATACCTTCAATGCAGCATGATGAGGAGGAGGTTATCCTGGCTTTTCTAATGGAGCACACAAGCTCTGGCATGTCTTTCCGAGCCAGAAAGGCTTTGGAGAGCCAGGCTATTGAGGTAAAGTATGCTGTCTGAGGATCAGGCTGAGTTCAGAGACTCGTCCCCAGCTTGGCTACAGGATGATGAATGTTTTTCAGCACCTAGGGTAATCACCAGAGGTGACATCACATTATAGCTTTAGATATGAAAGGGACCTCAGAGGTCATCCAAGCCAACTTTTCATTTTACAGATAAGAAACCTGAGTCTCATTGACGTTGTTGGACTGGTTCAAGGTTATGTAAGTGATAAATGGCAAAGCTGGTCGTTGAAATGCCACCTGACTCCTGCTCTAATGCTCTTTTCATCCCAAAAAACTGCCTCAAAGATCACCTCCTAAGTCATTGGAAGACTGTGATCTGCATTGGTGAAGGGAATAAATACTTGCAGAAAATTACAAATACTCAAAAGCAGCAAATTAATCAGCAAGCTTGTATTGAGCAGTTATTCTAGACACGCCTACACTGTGGCTATTTTGTTAACTCCTGTCTTGGAAGCTGCCACATCTGCCACATCCAATTCATTTCCTAATTTAATGTCGTGTTGCCAGCTGATTTTTAAATATATTTTCTTTACCTAATATAATTCATGAAGCCACAGCCCCATCAGGCACTAAATCCTAGTAAAGTGCAGAAACACCTAGGAAAAAAAAAGATTTTTAGGACTGGAAGGGACCTTAAATATCATTTAGTACAACCTGTGTATTTTACAGATGAGAAAAGTGAGACCCAGAATTAGCTGCCTGAGTTCCCTGAACACTAAAATGGAGATAATAATAACACTAATAATAATACCTGCCTCCTAAGATTGTTGTGAAGATCAAATAAGATAATATTTGTAAAGTGCTCAACACAGTCCCTGGCACATGGTAGGCCCTTAATGAATGCTTTTTTCTTTCCTCTAGCTGTTTGTCCTGTCAACCCCTAACTGGGAAGGTAGAGTGTACCTTTCTATAGATTAGTCCTTTTGACTCTAATAATAGTAATAATAATGATAGCTAGCATTTCTATGGCACCTACTGTGCTAAGTGCTTTAGAGCATCTCATTTGATGTAGCTGCTGTTATTATCCTCATTTTTGAGTTGAGGAAATCAGAAAAACAAGGTTAAGTGACTTGCCCAAGGTTACTTAATAAATATCTGAAGTCGGGTTTGAGCTTAGGCCTTCCTGACTCCAGGCCCAGCTCTCTATCCACTTCATGATCTAGCTGCCTCAGTTACCTTATTTAATAATAAATCTGGCAGATCTCTTATTTCACAGGCCCCAGGTCTTTCTGCTTTCTGTCCCCTCCTCTCACTTTTCATCTTTTTTATCTTCTCCAATTGTTTGTCACTCATCCAAAACCTTGGGAAAGTACTGTGAAGCTATAATTACCTAATGATATCACTCCTCAGTGAACTGTGTCTGAAATGCCTAGGGCCATTTTTTATCATGGATTTCAACTTGGCCAGAGTCATTGAGAAGTTTCTTATCAAAGGATCATAGAGGCATAAATTTAGGGCTAGTAGGGACCTCAGAAGCCACACTCCTTTGTGTTCCAGAAGACAAAATTGTAGGTTAAGTGACTAGTCCAAAGTCACAGTTGTAAACATCAGAGGCAAGATTTGAATTGTATAATACAAAAGAAGCACTTCATTTAGCATAACAACATTCTGGATCCTCTCTTCCCAACTGCCTTAACTTAGACTTCTGTTTCCTTCACTCAACCTCCAGGTCTACATTCTTTTCCCACAAATAACTGACAGGCTTAGATATTTTCTCTTCAGAAAATTGTACTCATAACCTTTTGATCCCAAGTGCTGATCTATCTCCAAAGGTACATGAATCTCAAGTTGCCTCCTCTCCATGAACACTGAAGAATCAGCCTACTGGTCCCTCACTACCTTTGGGGCAACACTTCCCTGTTGTATTTGAGAATATCTTTAATACTCACTGATGTGTCCTGAGCAGCATACTGGGTCATAATCTCAATCCCTTGGAAGGGTGGAAACTCAAGATCTCCATTATTAAAAAAAAAAATTACTCCAAGGATCATAGTAGGTGTTTTGCTGAGGTCTTGCTGAGTTTTTCAAATAACTTAAATAACAATAATGAATCCATTTCACAATAACCAAATCTGCTCCAAGAAGGCTTCTCCAGACAAGATCTAACTGCCATATCTTTCATTACTGACCAACCTATGTTAATTGATGCAACAGCATCCTGAAGAACCAGGCAACCTCAGTACCCCTATGACATCAGATAGTTCCATGGCCTTCTGATTCAACTCAGACATGGAAACCTTTGGAATCCTGACACTTTCTTTATCTATAGTGAAAGATTCTTTTAATTCATTAATTTTTACAAGTATTTCTCTCTCCATTTCGCTGCCCTTCAATTGAACAATAAAAAAAGAATAGTAAAACCATAATAACAAATATATTTAGTCCAGCAAAACAAATTCCTACATTGCCAGTCTCCAAAAACGTAGGCTTATTGTCCTTAACCTCTCTGTTAAGAGGTGGGAGGCACAGATTTTGTCTTCTGAGCTCACAATTTATCATTGCATTGGTAAGAATTCTAAAGTATTTCAAAGTCTTTTTTCTTTATAATATTGTTTTCACTGTACAAATTGTCCTGGTTCTACTCACTTCACTCTGCATCATTTCATAGAGGTCTTCCTAGTTTCCTCTGAAACCTGTACATTTCCTTCTTTTTCATGGCACAACATTCCATTATATTCATATACCATAATTTGTTTAGCTATTCCACAATAGGTGAGCCCCCTCTTATTTTCTAGTTTTAACTCCTATGAAGAGAACTAGTATAAATATTTTTGCATATGAGTCTTTTTCCCTTATCTTTAATCACTCTGGGTGAGGGCTTATTCCAGGACCTTTTTTTTTAAACCTGAGAGGCCATGGGAATGATAAAAAAGAGAAAAAAATTATCATAACTAACCAATATCATATATGTAGCTTCTACATCCTTAGTCCCTCTTTGCTTCCTCTCCCCCAAATTTTGTAATTAATGGAGGGAGTTACATTCCCATCTCTTCTTTAGAGCCAAGTTTGATAATTATAATTTCACAGCATTCAGTTTCAATTTTCTTGTTCTTTCCATCCACATAATTTTTGTCATTGTGTATATTGTTTTCTTAGTTCTGCTTACTTTACTTTGCATCAGTACATATGTCTTCCCATGCTTCTCTGCAGGCTTCACACCATTGTTTCTTACAGTATAGATATATACTACAAGAAGACCAAAGACAATATTACTATATTTCATTACATTCGTGCACTATAATTTGTTTATCCATTCTCTAATCAGTTGGCACCAACAAATGGGTGTTGATTATCTATTACTTTGTTACTACAAAAAGTGTTGGTACAAACAATTGAAAGGTTCTGTGCACAGTGGTAAGCACATAGGCTTTGGAGAAGAGGACCTGGGTTTGAATCTTGCATCTGTCACTTAATGCCATGTGAGCTTGGGCAAGCCCCTTTATCTCTATGGGCTTGACATTCTGCATCTGTTAAGTGAAGGAGTTGGATCTGATGATCACTGAAGTTCCTTCCAGTTCTAAATCTGTGAGCCTACATATATCAGGGACCTTTTTTTTTTGTCTTTGACCTCTTCAGGGTGTTTGCCTACCAGTGGGATCTCTCCATTGAAAGGGTATGAGCATTTTAGTCATTTTCTTGGCATCACTGCAAATTGTTTTTCAGAATGGTTGGACCAATTCATTTCTTCACCAACAATGTGTTATTAGTTTGCCTGTCTTTCCACAATCTCTCCAACACTGACTATTCTCAACTTTTGACGTCTTCAAAAATTTGCTAGGTGTGAAATAAAACTTCAGAATTATTTTGATTTGTATTTTTTAGAATTAGTGATTTGAATCTACATTTCATGATAGTTGTTAATAGTTTGCAATTCTGCTGGCAACTCAGTATCAAGCAGCCACTATGTACCAGGTACTATGTTAAATAAACACTGGAATCAAAAAAGTTATCTTTTGTATGATTTCTCCAACCCATGTATAATTCAATTCATTATAGTGTACCTTTGTGTGATCTAATCAGGTCTGTCTGTTGATATATTTCCATATTAGTTTCATGAACATGTTATTCTTCTGACTAGTCAAATTAAGGCAAGATTTTTAATTTCATTATCCCACATTTTATCTAGGTCCTACAAATTCTTTGGATGTTATAAACTGGGGTGGTACAGTATCTGAGATACTAGATTCTCCCACTGACCTTCCAGACACTGGCCACACTTCTCAGTCTATCCACATATTGTAGGTAGTGTCATTATCTTCAACTTCTGACTCCCAAAAGTATATCAATCCGTGGACAGTGACAGTCCTTATGCCAACATAAGAAAATATGGTGTAAGTCCAGTGGCATCATTCCTGATGGGATTTAAAGGCTGCACTCCAGTGTACCTCCTGCTCTGGTTGGTGACAGAGCCTGCATCTACTTTAATATTGTTGTTGTTCAGTTGTTTTTCAGTCACGTCCAACTCTTTGTGACCCCATTTGGGATTTTCTTGGCCAAGATATTGGAGTGGTTTGCCATTTCCTTCTCTAGCTCATTTTACAGATGAGGAAACTGAGACAAACAGGGTGAAGTGACTTGCCCTGGGTCACACAGCTAGTATCTAAGGCAAGATTTTAACTCAGGAAGATGTCTTCCTAATTCCAGGCCCAGCACTCTATCTACTGCACCACCCTGCTGCCCATTTTAACTAGTATATCCTGGCTGAAGTGTTCAGGTTCAGAATCCCCCAGCCTGGGGGGATTAAGGAGCAGCCCTATAACTCTTCATTCCTGTTAGGCTGGAAACCTTCTTTTCCCTGATAGGAAGATATCCTTTTTGGGAAACAAGACGCAGAGAAACACCTTTTTTCCATCGAACTTTGGCACCAGTAGATACTGTCTGTGCTCAGGTTATATTCATTCCATGCAATGTGAATAAAATGACTGGTGACCTCCAAAACATTATTTGTCTCTGATTCACCTCCAGAGAATGTCACTTACAACTCCAGCCACAGAATCTGAGTTCAACCCATGCTTGCCCAAGAATCACTTCTACAATGCGGCCAACAGGTCAACCAACCCTGGCTTGAAGGCCTTCAGTGAGAGGGAATCCACTACCTATCCACGTAGCCCACTTTGGACAGTTCTAATCTTTGCCAAGATTTTCCACACATCAACTCTAAGCTTGCCTCTTTGCAACTTCTATCCACTTTTTTTTTTAGTTTCTTAGATTGCTGATATAATTTTAAAGTACTTTTTTATTGAACAAAAATCAATTTTCTCTCCGTACCCCAACCCCTAATCATTGGGAGAAAAAATAAAATGAAATCTTTGTAACAAATATGCAGTAAAACAAATTCCTACACTCAATGTATCCAAAATATATGCCTCATCCTTCACCAAGCCCATTACCTCTCATTCAAGAGGTGGGTAGGAAGCATGGTTGGTCATCGCATTAATCAGCATTCTTGTCATTCAAAGTTGTTTTATTCCACAGTAATGTTGATATATCAAATGTTCTCCTGGTTCTGTTCACTCCACTCTCTATCAGTTCATGGAAGTATTCTCAGATTTCACTAAAACAGTCCCCATCATCATTTCTTCTGGAACAATACTATTCCAGCTAGGTGGCATAGTAGATCACTGGGCCTCAGTCAGCAAGACAAGTTCAAAACCAGCCTCAGACACGTCCCAGGTGTGTGATTCTAGGCAAGTCACTTAATCTCTACCTGCCTCAGTTTCCTCAACTGTAAAATGGGGATAGCACCTCACAGGATTGCTGTGAGGATCAAATGGAGATATTTGTAAAGGACTTAGCAGAGTGCCTGGTCACCTCCATATCACCATGAGATACTGGTTTAAGACCAGAGTGATAGAGAAAACAATTACAAAATAATTCTTTTAACCTGTTATAATAGTGGAAGGCTCTATCTGTTGATACTGTGTATGTTTTTCCTATAGATATTAGAGAAGCAGCATAGATGATTAGTGGATAGGGCGATAGGGTTTGACTTGTCTACCTCAGGTAGACAGTGCTTGTTTCTTTCCATTATATTCATGTATCATAATTTGTTCAGCCAATCCCCAATTAATGGGCACTCCCCCCATTTCTGGTTCTTTGCTACTACAAAAAAAGCTGCTATATTTTTGTACATATGGGTCCTTTTTCTCCTTCCTTGAACTTTTTGGGGTATAGGCCTAATAAAGTTATCATGTGGAGAATGACTCAATTTCTACCTATTTTAATTAAAATAGCACTCCATTAGAAAGGTTCTGCTAAACCTTTCACTCTAAATTTATTTAGCCTGGAAATGAAATACATTCTAGTAAAAAGACAAACACCTCCTCCAAATATGTAGACTTGTGAAAACAATTAGGCTGTAGGATAATAGACTAAGGGCTAGAAAAGACCTCAAAGGCCAGTGAATCCAGCCCCTTCATTTTACAAATGAGGAAACTTAGGCACACAGAAAGGCTAGTTATCTTGCCCAGGTTCACACAGCTAATAAGTACCTGAGGTAGACAAGTCAAACCCTAGCGCCCTATCCACTAATCATCTATGCTGCTTCTCTAATATCTATAGGAAAAACATCATATGCAGTATCAACAGATAGAGCCTTCCACGATTATAACAGGTTAAAAGAATTATTTTGTAATTGTTTTCTCTATCACTCTGGTCTTAAACCAGTATCTCATGGTGATATGGAGGTGACCCTGAGTTCTCACTATGGCAACAAATGGCAGGTCTTCCCAAGCTGGAAAGGATCAGGTCAGTTAGAGAGAGCCAGCACATCAGCTATCAGTCCCATCAGCCTAGTCATATTTGGAGGGGATCGTGAAAGGTAAGAAGCTTGGCCACAACTTGATTTTTTGGGGGACCTCATTAAGACTGTCCACTGCAGTGGAGAAGGGTGGAGATCTGCCGTGGTGGAAGGTGTGGCCATTAGGATAAAGACTGGAATCCTTTAAACGTAAGTAAAAATATGACTTAGAATCTGAAAAAACAAATAGTGTTAGTGGCTCTTATGGGTATTTGTTCAGATTTTCATTTGCTATTTTCAGTAACTTTGGATCATACTTCTTTTGGGACATCCAAATTCTTTACATATATACCAGAGCTTCAGAGTTTATGAGATAGAAAACATCTCAACCCTAAGACAAAGGGATTTTTTTTCCACTCTAACCCCACTGATTTCCCATTGAGTTTCCCATTTCCCATACAGTTAGTAACAAAATTTAGCCTGCTGGTCTTCATCTAATTTTACTGAACCAATAAAAGAAAATATTTCAATTCCTTTCATCACCCCATCATAAACTCTTAAAATGGGTTTTAATGCTTATGTAATGGAAATTTGGAGTACTTGTCTGAAGAAAAAAATCTCAGAGATATTCCACCTTAGAGAATTGATAATATGAAGCTGCATCATTGAAACTATGTCCCCCAAACTGGGTAATAAAGAGCTGTCACCAAAGTTCAATCAACAAACCACACTGTTTTGGGGGTCTATTGGAATAAAGCATCTAATGGACTAGAGTTCATTGGTACATTATTTTTAATTTGTCCTAAAGAGTCTTCCTAAAAATGATGGGAATTTTTGCTATAGTCCTGGCAGGTGAGTAAATGGAAACCATCCCACACACAAACCATTTATCTTTTAGCACTGATAATGGCCTGATCATGATCTGTGTAATTAAAGACAAAGGAATAAATGGTTCCGCCTGGAGAGCTTACAATCTAAACAAGGAGAATGGGGGTGTACGGGGCAGGAGAACAAGAACACAGAAACCACAAGACTAGAAGACAAAGAACAATTGTTCAGATCAAGTTTTAACCAAATTTTTGGTGATGATAAGTCAAAAGCATTTGATCAATTAGGTTTTAGAAGGGGAAAAACACTAATGAGCACAGGGAAGAGAAGACCAGTCCAGATCTAGCACTATGGCTTTAAGAATTCTTAATAAGATTAATACTACTAGTTATTTTTTTAAAAAATGTATAGGAGAAAGAAGCAACAGTAGTAGACTAAAACACAGCTGGACAGTACTAAATAGTGTAATGGAATACTAGATAAAATGAGAAAAAAAATAAATTAGAGAGACACAGGGGAAGGTAAAGCTCCTAAGTAGAAACTGGTAGAAAAATTAAAAGTTAGTAAAGTTGAGAGAGGACAGGGGTAGTATTGAATCTGAAACTGGAGACAAGAGATTTAAAGAAGTGATTACAAAGTTATTTTCCATATATTAGATTTTAAAATATTTTAAATCAAAAAATGAAAACATACTATAAAATATTTATTTGATAAAAATAATTTTATAATCTATACAGAATTGAATAAAACATACAACAGATAACTTCCACTTGTTTGCAAAACCATATACAGTAAGTTCATCTGTGCAAATTGGATTCTTCTAAAAACTCACTGCACAGGTAAGACCTTCTTTTCTTCTATAACTAAAGGTTTATGCGTTCTACCTGACATTCGGAGAATAAGGAAATAAATGCTTTGGTAGCCAGACATTTTGATTAGGTCATAATCTATTTCATCATTAAAAAAAAAAAACCTAATACACTTTGTGACAACAAACTGTGGCTTATTTTAGAATGAACAATCCCCACAAGAGAAAATAATGTAAGAAACCCACAAATCCAGTAGTCAGAAGCTATAACTTCCCAAGGAATCATTTCCTCCTTTCTCCTCTAGCTTGTTCCTGCCCATCTTCTTCATCTTAAAGGAAGGTATGAGGAATGACCTATTATCCTCATCAAATTATACATGTCCTAATCAAAGCAGATGGAAAGCTGCTACTTATCCCTCCCTCCCTCACCCCTATGTCACTAATGTGGTTTAGTTATGTCCTTCTAAAATTACAAAAAACAGAAACAAACCATAGCTCGGGTAAGAGCAGCTACTCAGAAGTAGCCAGAATAAGGCAACGCCATCTCAGCATGATTGGCTTCTCATAATGTGACATAAATACAGATATGTTTCACACACATTGGCAGCCACATAGGAGACATTTCAAGGTCAAGTGGAAACAATTTTGTTTTCCTTCATGTAACTTGGAAACAGAAACCACCATCCACTTCTAATTTTAATCAAATCTTTAAGATGATTCCACTTCTGAACTTAAAGGCAGATTTCAGGTAAAGAACCCAACAGACAATCCCAGGCCTGCTTACAAATTACATGGTCCCATTTGTGCAAAACAAAACAAAAACGCCACCCTGGAATGGTCTTGGGTGCCCATCTTATCTTGCATAAGAGGGAGACCACAAAAAGACGGGAAGTGAAGGTGTTTTTAAATCTTCCTCTTGTCTAGAGCTTAAAGAAAGGGACAGCAAACACTAAATGCGCTGGTTGGAGCCACAGCCCACAATTCATTCTAGGCTTCATCATAACATCAGAATCTTTCATACTAATGAATTAAGTGTCCCTTAAGTTTTCTGATAAGATCCGTTCATTTGGCAATGAACTGTTTAGTGGGTCAGCAGGCCTCAAGCTCGCCTTTCCTTGTACCTATATGAGCTTCTCTGGGAAGCATAATGAGTACTGTACGATGTACTGGTGAAAGTACACACACATCTGAGAGAACACGTACAGTGAGCTGAAAACAATAATTTAAAATAAACACTCAACATATATTCCTTAGGGAACAGAACCACAGCAAATATTGCTCACTTGTGATAGAAACAATCATTTACACGAACACAAATAAGTGAGTATGTGTAGACAAAGAAAAATTGAAACTGTGGGAATAGGTGGTACAGAGGTGAGTAGTGCCATAGTGTACCTCCATCCTGTCTGAAGAGTGCTGACCCATGGGGCCCATGCCTCTATCCCAGGGCACAGGGATGGGAATGACCTTTAAAAACCTTGACTTTGCTTTCTAATTAAATGCAGAACCACCCCTCCTGGTCCCTCTTTCCCTGGATCCCATGCTTTCACTTTAGCAAGTAGACATTCAAAACAAGGCGAAAAAAAGTCATCCTTAAATTATCTCACATAAATAATCTATAAAATCAACATTTCTTCTTGGATCAATTATGGAACACCAAGAACACAGATTACAAGTGGTTGCTCTGAAGCAGAGAACTGCACATTCAAACACTGTCATAAATATATGCCTATAACTTAGGGAAAACACAATGAACTCCACGTCCAGGCACCGTTGTTGGGTGAAGCAGCACTCAGGTTCTAAGGCTTCAGTCTCCCCTTAGCTGTGGGTCATGCAGTGGTCACTGGAGAGCTTAATTCTGTATCTCGCCTCCTTCTGTACTTCTTTATAACACTGACTGCACCATTAATTAGGAAAATAATGGCTATGAGTGCAAAGTAACCGGCATAGATCAGGAACTATGGGGGAAAAAAAGAACGTGGTGAGAAAAGAAAACACAGCATGTGAACAGACTTCATTTCAAAGCAAAGAAGGTGCTACTGCCTGACTGCCATAATGAAAGGTGGAATCAGAGCTGGCTATGTCTCTCCAACAGAGGGCAGTAAAGTGTAAGCCAACCTCTATGCTAAGAGGACAACATTACCACCAGCATCTGGTCAGATTGACTGAGTGCCTGCATACACACAAAGGGGCTGGGGGCAGACTCTGTGGAACAGAGCGTTCATACAACCCTCACAGGCCCTGGGATGTTTATTTACCCATCCCGTGTGCTGCACTGGAAACTGGGAGTCAGAAGTCCGAGGTTCAAATCCTGGTTCTGAAACTACCTGTGTAACCTCAGTTCCCTCATCTGTAAAATGGGGGGACCGGACCAGCTATCCTCTGAGATCCCCTCTGGACTTGAATAAATCACAGGAGGCAGGGGGGCAGTAGTAATTAGATCACAGATTTGGAGTCAGAGGGCTATGTGGACAGGACAACCATCAAATGAATGAAAGTATTTCTATTATCCACAGGCATTTGCACAAATCATTTTTCCTCCTTTCAAGATATTCATATAGGGGCAGCAAGGTGGCACAATGGATAGAGCACCGGCCCTGATGTCAGGAGGGCCTGAGTTCAAATCCAGCCTCAGACCAAACACCTGACACTTACTAGCTGTGTGACCTTACGCAAGTCACTTAACCCCAAGTGCCTTTAAAAAAAAAAGATATTCACACGGTAAAAATGGAAGAGTGAGTAGTCCGCACATTTGTCCTCTAGAAGTCAGAAGGGGCTTCCTGAAGAAGACAGGATTTCAAGAGGAGTTCAAAAGGAAGTGGATGAGAAATCAGGAACAGCGGACAAAGAAAGCCTCCTAGGTGTGAGGTGCATATATGGAGAAAACAAAACTGGGATTGGAAACAATCAATGAAGGGCGACCTGGGTGAGAGGCAGGGCAGCCCCTATCAGATAGCCTCTTCACTAAAGCCCATCTTAGACACCACTGAGTCAGGACCTCAACAAGAAATAGGGCAGCCTTAACATCAGATGAGTTATCTGAGAAAAAATGGGCTCCAGATATCACCGCCTGCCAGCATGACATTTTGGCAGCCCTATTCTGTCCAAATGAGAGCATCAGCATTGGGAAGGAAGCCATAGGTCTTACCTGAGTGGTGATCTCCAAGCCAAGCCCACTGGCGTCCACCACAATCAGAGTGAGCAGAGTCTGTAGCGCCAAGGCAATGAACGTGTTCACACCAAACACCAGGGCATAGCGCTCCATGCTGAGGTTAGTAGCAATCTGGAACCTTAGGAAACAGGGCACGAAAACACTTAATCACAAGTACTATTTCCTTGGCTGGTTACAATTTTTACTTTAACTCTCAACACACCTCTTCTCACTTTAATTCCCTTCCCCAAGAAATTAAGAACACTTGTGGCCATACAGGAACAGACCTAAAAACAGATGTGGGATTACATATAAACGTACACACAAAAGTTTCATAAAGGATTCTCGAGTGAGCCCACCATAAATGCTTTTCCATTCGTGTGTATGATAGTAATAACATAATTATGCCTCATGACACTCTATGGTGTTAGCATAGTGATAAGAGTGCCAGCCTTGGAAGGCCTCAGGAAGACTGGGGTTAAGCCCTACCTTTGCCCTGTAATAAATAGCTTTGTGTCTGGGCCACAAGACCTACCTCTCAGTGCCCTACCCAACTCTCAAGACTCTAACTCACAAAAGAGTCAACCATTTGTACCAGGGAAGGGAATTTCCCACACAGACAAAATCATGGGGGGGGGGGAGTGCAGCGGTGGAGCCTTACCTTTCTAAATCACTTTATGCTTTTCAAAATTATTTTAAAATTTTATCTTTTTATTCTCACATCACCTGGGAGGAAGGGAAATTTCGTAGACAAGGGACTGGATTTAAAAGATGTTAAATTATTTGCCCAAGGTCACATGTAGTCAGAAAGTGGCAGAGCAAGGTCTCAGATCCAGGCATTCTGGCTCCTTTTGCTACAGGGCGTGTCCTATCTAGACAGGATATACACACAAACACATATTTTGTGTATGTGTTTTGTGTATATTTGCACAAAGATGTATATGTATACTGCATAGGATGTAAGAATTACTATTCTTTTGTCTTGGAAGTAGAACATTAAATTTACTTCCCAGTTTTTGAAGAAACTGACAGGTCCTATCTGGAGGAAAACAGAACCTATCTCCCCCAAAGCCTCCCTGCCCTTTTTCCAGGCTTCTGGGCACCTGAATACGTACGTTGCTATGGTGATGAGCAGCATGTAGATGATTCTGAAGACGACGTAGGACGAGTAGCACACCCAGATGTTGTTCACTTTGTCCATTACGTACACGGCTGCTGCAATCAGGAGGGAGAAGAGGGACAGCGTCATCTCGCCCCACGTGGACCAGGATATCTTTATGTAACCAACTGCAAACACCGCAACTGCCCCTAAGAAAAAAGGCAGGAGAGCAACTCGGATCACTTTTCTGAGTAAGCAAAATCACAATTCCCAGAAATTCAGCTCAAGACACAAAGGAGTTAAATCAATAAAGGAGGCATCTGATAGATTTTGGAGAAATTGGGATAACTGTGGGGCTCAATGATCAACAGAAAAAAACCACATTATTTACATCCACAGGTACGCCTAGCAAGGGGTGTAGACACGCCCTATGGTACCAGCTCTGGGCTGACTTCCCCAGAGAATAAAGTGGAGACCAGTGTCAGCCCCGCTTTCTAGGCACATCTATGCCCATATCTGCAGACTAACAAACTACAGGATTGGTCAAAACAAAACAAAACAAAAACACACTCTTCCAACTCCTTTAGCAACCTACTAAATATATCACACCCAGCCAGAGGCAATAATTATTTTTTAAAAATAAATTTATATTTGGAAAATATTTAACCAAAGGAAAACGGTTCTAGTAGAAGGTATAAGAGATTGGTAGTATGGAGAGGAATTTAATGCAAAACTTTGCTTGAGAAGAAACTTTTTGAACTACAGCAAATCTTTCAATGTCTCAGTACGTCGAGGTCATCCATGAAATGTTCCTATCCGTCTCCTGTCAAAGGACAGCATTAGGTGGTGGAAACAGTGCTAGACTGGAGTCAGGAAGGATCTGAGTTCAAATTCCATCTCTGACACTTAACTAGCCGCATAAGTAAGCATGGGCAAGTTGACAACCTCAGGGAGCTCACACTGTTTACTCATTTACACAAATGTCACAATGACTCTGGTGGTACTTACCTCCCTAGACCATTGTGGGGACAGAAAGAGAGAACGCTTATAAAGGACTCAACAAGTTGTGATTGTCACCATTATCACCATCTGGGAGAGACTACAGAGGTGGATCAATGAAGAAGTACTTCCTGAGTGTACCATGTGGTATTATGGTATGGAGAGTCCCAAGGAAGCCTAAGAATAGCGAGCATTTCTATAGTGCTTTAAGATCTGCAAAATGTTTCACAAATATCATCTCACTTGATCCTCATAACAACCTTAAGAGGTAAGTATTATCATTATTATTATTATTATTATTCCTATTTTACAGATAAATAAATGGAGGCAGATAGGAGTTAAGTGACTTGTACCCATGGTCACACAGCTACTAAGTGGCTAAGGTAGGATTTGAATTCAGATTTTCCTGACTCCAGATCTAGCTCTCTATCCACTGTAGCATCTTGCTGCCTCTACAAGATAGCTCCTGCCCTCAAGTTTTTAATTGAAAAGACAAATTATCCATACGTGAATCGTTGGTGAATAATACAAGACTATCTTCAGCGTGAAATTTTGTGGTGTGGCCTAGGAATAGTAGGAGTTCAGAGACTGGAATTCCCTGGGCCACAACAGCTAAGGAGAGCTTCAAAGAGGAAGGGGTTGAGTCTAGCCTTGAAGGACAGGCAAGGCTTACTTGAGAAAGAAGGGGGAACATGAACAAAAGTCTCAAAATGGGGATTAAGATGGCATCTGTAAAGAAAGAAGGAAGAGACCAGTCTGAACAGAATGGGAAATAAGGGTGTAGCAGATGCCAGGTAGGAGTTTGGATGGACTTACCCAGCAGTGTTGAAACTGCCTCCACTCCACCATTATAGATGGCGGCATTGCGAGAAGGCATCACTTTCTCCCACAGACCTTGTGTGTAATTCACCACTTGGAAATAGCCACAGGTAGAGAGGGCCCACCACACCGACCAACAGAGCAGAGGACGGGAGGAATAGCACGCCAGGAAATCTTTCCACAGGACCTTCAGCACCAGAAGGCGGTCTGGCTTCGACTTCTACACGGGCAAAGGGGCCGGGGAGAACGGGAAACAAGACAAACATGACGAGCCCTACACCAGACAGTGACGGCTTCCAGTTTTCTAACATCCTTGAACTTTTTGTTGGCTTACAAAATCTGTCTATTTCTCGGAAACAAGTACTTGCTAACAATTACACTGACAAACATTTTGCAGTCTCCTGCCTTCCCAACAGTTTGCACTTGGAAGCACCATAATACGATTAACTCAATTGGTAAGACCCCCTACTGAAGCAGATGACAAGTTCTCCATGCCTTAAGATAATCTTTTTAAGTTGCTGTGGCCAAAACATTTCCTCACCTGATGGCCAACATTTTAGTAAATGAATTTCTCCAGACTTAACTAGGTGTGTCCTTGAATGACAGACAGGTATATCGGCTGTTGCCAGGCTACCCCACCACAATGAAGCTTCCATGTAAAATTTAGAGACTAGGAGGTGTACTCTTGGTAAAAAGCAGGGGGCAGGAAAACACAGAACCTCAGAGAACCTCAGAGACTTATCGAGTTCAATTCCTACTTAAAGCCTGAGCTCCTACTCTGGCAGTCTAGATAAAACGTGTGTGTGTGTATACACACCGAGCATTACACAATGGGGACGCAGGGTACAGGACAGTATTTCTTCCTCCTTGAAGTGGCCCCTAGCTCGTTCTATTTTTTTAGGCAGCTCTCATTGTAAGTCAGGTTTTTCTCATGTTGAGCTGAATTGTCTTCTTCTAACCTCTAACCTAGGGTCGGTTCTAGTTCTGTCCTGTAGAGCCAAGAAGAACAAATTTCCTCTTCCAAATGCCAACTCTTCAAAAGTTTCAACCAGCTCTCCCCAAATTGTTCTAAACAGCTTTTGCTTCTTCAGGCGACCTTCAGGTGTCTGGCACCTACGAGCCCTTCACAGTCTGGCTCCGGCCAACCATTCCAGGACACTGGCCCCTTCCTCCCCTTCACCCACTCAGGCTGTGCCCTGAGCTTGCAATCCCATCTCCCACCTCCATGTCTTCACACGGGTTATTTTTAACACCAGAGGCACTCCCTCTTCATCTCTGCCTCTTAACATTCCTATTTCCTTTGAGCCTTAGTTCATGTGCTGCCTAATCCCAGCTCAACTACTCTCCAACCATGAGCTTCAATATCCTCACTTGTTAAATTAGGGGTCTGCAGCAGACAGGCTCTACGGTTCTTCTTCTAGTCCTAAATCTATGACTATGACAAGTCTTCACCCTCTCATCCCCCTGGTTTTTTAGTGCTCTCTTCCCCTTCTTCAAATTACATATTTACTTATCTATTGTGCCCCTTTCCCCTTCCTTCTCAGAAAATAAACCTCTTGAAGGCATGGACTATTTCTCATTTTGTTTGTATCCTCAGTTATCAGAGCTGTATCATGCATACAACAGATTCCTAATAAATACTTACTGATTGGATGGGTTATGATAACACTTCCACTCCCTTCACCACTACTGCCTTCCTCTGTCTATTCTCTCGCTTTTCAATATCCCTTTGGCAATCTAGCCTCTGGATTTGGGCACAATGCTCTGGCCTGACCCAACCAGAATATGGCAGGTCTATTACACACCACAATCAGGAAGGATACTAAATACTTCTAGCTTTTTGGGCTAAAAGTGTATCTATCACGCTGCTAATTCATATTGAACTTGTAGTCCACTAAAAGTCCTAGGGCCTTTTTGTATAAACTGCTGATACTATACTTTGCAGCTGAGTTTTTGAGCCCAAGCAAAGGATTTTATATTGACTCCCTTTCATACAATTCGTTTCAGCCTATTGTTCTAGTCTGTTGAGATATCTTTGGATAATAATAATAATAATAATAACAACAACAACAAATAAACCACAGCTGACATTTGTAAAAGGCTTTAAAGGTTTACACAGCACACGTTATCTCATTTGAGTTTCAAAATAATTCTGTGAAGCAGAGATTGCACTTTTATTACCCCTATTTCACAGCTGAGGAAACGGAGGCTGAGACAGGTTAGGCCATTTGCTCACGGTCACGAAATCATTGTGTCAGAGGCTGGATTTAAACCTAGGTCTGCCTGGCCCTTCTGTTCAGTACTCTATAATAAAGAAGTATATTGTATCTATGTATAATACTATTTACATATATATAGATATATCTATATATATCTATATACACTAGCTCTATTATATATAAGTAAATAAGAAATACTATAGAAGTGTATGTGTATATATAATGCACATATATACATATATGTGCACACATAAAATACTATGCACATACACTATATATACATATACATGTACATACATACATATATATTTAAAAAATACTAGCTCTCCCTATCATCATCTTGTCAGAACTCACTGTGCAGGGAGATAACACTCATCATATTAACTAGCACCAAGAACAGGCAACACTTTATTAACTACTGCCCCTCCAATTTAACACCAGCAACAACGTTAGTCAGTAAAGGCTGCACATCTTGACATTTGCTCACGAAAGCACATCACTAAAACAGCAGTTATTTAACACATGTGATTCTTGCCTCCTCAATGAGACCGTAACGGTCCCCGCTGTCCTTTATGAGGAAAGCATCGCCGGTTCACTGTTAAAAGGACTTCCAAGAAATGCCTATTCCTGTTACATACGCTCTGCTATGGAGGGTGGGGAGGGGAACAAGTACTCATTTAGAAGTGAGAGCACCACACGGTGCAGTTAAAGCAGGGATGCAGTGCAGCACAGTGGGGAAAGCATCGCGCTGGGAGTCACAATGAGGGACCGTGGACAACATCCAGCTGTTGTAATCCAGACACTTAGCCAGTCTGCCTCTGTTTTCTCATCTGCTAGATCAGGGTTTCTTAACTTGGGGTCTGTGGACCTCTGGGTTATGAATTTAGGGGAACTGAGAACACACATGAGAAAAAAATGACATTGTTATTTCTGCCAGCGCCCAGCTGAAGTTTCACATTTCCTTCAATTGTGAATGTAGGCAACATACTACAGTAGTATTAGTCTTCACTGGACCGTCCAAGGGGTCCGTCCATGACACACACACAAAAGGTGAAAATAATAAAAGGTTATTCGATGGTCTCTAATAAGGCCCCTTCCACTTCTAGCATTCTGTGACTTTATTATTAATGGATCCAGTGGAGCCCACTGACCCAAAGCCAACAGAAAAGCAGAGGCAACATTCTCATGTCGGCAGCATTGACTGTCTTCCCCTCCCAGCATCCCTGTGCTTTCTGATTCAATGACAGAAGGACCCTTTGGTCTGCCTGGTCTGCTTAGTTCTTAAGCTTTGAACAGGATGTAGGAAAGTGCTGGTTTGTGGCTAAGTGGAACAGCAAGGTGAGTTGATCCCAGGAGCCCCAGCGGTGTGTGTAGAAGGAAGACTGTCATGGCATATTCTATCAAAGGCACAGTATCAAGAATACTGCATTTGGAATTAGAGAAGCCAAGTTTTAAACCTGGCTTTCCTACTTACTACCTGGGTGACCCGGGACAAATTATTTAACCTTCCTGAATCCATCTCTTAATCTGTAAGACAAGGGATGGCTCCAGAAGATGTTGAAGGTTCCTTCCAACTTGAAAGTCCTTGATCACATAATAATCTATGTGGAGAAGCAGAAACAGACTTTAAAAGAAAGACTGGGGCGAGATGTGTGAGTCTATGGCCCGGAGTTGACAAGTGGGTAATATCAACATAAGAAAGAAGAGGGCCTTAGGACAGCGGCCCACATTCAGCAAGTGAAGGCACCACATTTTCTGACTCATTTCATTCTACTCCCAATCCACATTCAGGGCAAGCTGGACTCCAGCTGTTCCCTCATTTGGTCCTGTAGTTTCTCACCTTCGGGTATTTGGGCATTTGGGCAGGTTGCCCTCCGTTCTTGGAATGAACTTCCTCCTCATTTCTATCTGATGAAATCCTGCTCATTGTTCAAAGGTGGGAGGGGCTCAGGTACCACCTCTTTCCTGAAGCCTTTTTTAATCCCCTCCACCCCACCGAAAGGGATGTGCTCCAGGCCCTTATCACATTATATTCTGTACTGTACTTATTTCTGTACATAGTAGAAACTGTCCCATTAAATTATAAGTTCCTTGAGTACAGGAGCTGTTTTGTTTTGTTTTGCATTTATACCCTTCAGCACCTAGCCTGGTACCTTGTACATAGCAGACACTTAATAAGTGTTTCCTTCATATTACCAGGCCTGGTTGCTTCAGATACAACCTGCTGATGTGTGTGTGGTTATTTAATAACAGGTTTGCAAAGTCCTTCACAAATATGATCTCATTTTATTCTCACAGCTACCCTGGGAGGCAGGTGTATCTCCATTTTGCAGATGAGGAAACCGAAGTAGACAGGGGGGAAGTGACTTCCTCCAGGTCACACAGCTAAAAAGTGTCTGAGGTTGAATTTGAACTCTGCTCTTTCCTGATCCCAGAGCCCTAGGCACTAAGGCGCCATCTCACTGATCATATAGTATCTGGCTGGCATTTAAAGTCCTTCAGTCTGGCTCCAGGCCATCTCTGCACACTCAATGAACAAAACTCACTTTCCCACATTCTACATTTGGCCCAAACTCAGGGTTCCATTTTGCACAGGCTCTTCCTACCCACTCCCTCTGCCTCTTGGAACCCTGCCTTCTCCCAAGTGAGGTTCCCCGCCCCCCATAAAGGTCTTTTCAGATCCTTCTACTTGTTAGTGGTCTCTGCTTCCTCAAATTATCTGTGTAAATGTTATATCCCTACAAGCAGAATGTAAGCTCCCTGAGGATAAGCCAGTTTTTGGTTTTTGTCTGGCTTTTATAGCCACAGTGTCTAATACGATGCTTTGCATACACTTGGCACCCAATAAGTATTTGTTCCCTTAAAATGGTTAACTGCCATCTGCCATAGTATCAACAAATCAAACTAATGGGCTATTAAAGAAATTTCCAATGGATTTTGCAACAGCTATTAAGGGCTTTAGGAATAGGGACCACAATTGCCTACATAAGGTTCCCAGCAGGTGCATACCAGCTTAGTTTTAAAACGTAATGTTAACTATGTTTTACTCTACTTTTATTTATTTCGTTAAATATTTGCCAATAACATTTTAATCTGGCTCCAGCTCCATGAAAGTGCCACATGTGTGACACCTTTGTACTAAATGATATCCAGTCCATAAGACATCTTTAGATATCTAAGCTATCTAAAACCCTTTCCAGCGCCAAATCCTATATTATTTTTAGTAAGTATTTAGTTTTTTAAAAAGGCAATTTTACTGTAGAACTTGAAATAAATACAAACTTCACTTTATCTCTTTACCTATAGAACATACTATAAGGAGGGCCCCAAAGAATGGGTGTATAATTAAGAATCATATTAAATGTGAATATAGCTATAGAAAAAAAATGGTCATGGGACCCAAGAATAGAAAGTACTAGGGTAAAAACTCCCTATTACCCCAAATTATAGGGAAAAAAGGAAAGCAGTTTGATGAAAAAATAAGGTTTAGGTCAATATCTTTTACCAAAAATTCTAATAAATTCAAAATGGATATATGATCCAAGCATGAAAAAGTCAAATCCTAAAAAAAAAAAAAAATTAAAGGAGAAGGGAAAAATATATCTTGTATAACTATGGCATGGGAAAATTCTTAATCAAGGGACAGAGATTATTATATAAAACAATTTTAATTGCACAAACTTTTTTAAAATTTCACAAGAATTAATATAACTAGCATAAGAAAGGAAACTATCAATTAAGAAAAAAATTTTGTTGCACATTTATTTAACAAATTTCTAATATCTAAAATGTATAGGAAACTGACAAATATATAAGAACAAAAGCCATCTACTTACTCATCTTGCTGTTCCACTTAGTCACAAACCAAAACTTTCCTACATCCTGCTCAAGGCTCAGGAGCTATGCAGACCAGGCAAAAAGGTCCTTCTGCTGTTGGTTGACTCAGAAAGCAAAGTGATGCCAGGTCTCGAAGGTATCCAATCCTGCATTTATGGTAGCATTCACATCACTTCACTGCCTTAGTTTGGGTCACTCAGGTCCAATGTCACATTCTGTCCCATAATATGGTATAGTCCACTAAAATCCAAGGCCCTCTTGGTATAAACTGTTTTCTAAATACATTTCATTCACGGTACTCAGTAGCTGACTTTGTGAACCCAAGCGTAAGATTTGCATCCATTGTCTCCGTTACTAAAATCACCGAATGTTAGAGCTAGCTATCAAAAGATATGAACAGGCACTTTTCAAAAGGAAGAAATGCAAATCATTCAAGAACCATATGAAAGAATCCTCCAAATGATAAGATCCGTGAAAACTGAAATAGGGTCTTTGAGGTTTTGCCTCACGTGGCTCAGACTGGCCATGATGGTGGAACTGTGAACTTGGCCAACAAATCTGGAAAAACCATTTGGCATCATACTAGGAGAGTCACAAAACTGTCTGTACGTGCCCCCTTGACTCGGGGCATAAACCAAAAAGAGGACAAATCAGTAGAAAAGTCTCACACGCGCAAAAACGCGTATAGCAGCATTTTTTCTGTCTACATGGTAGAAAAGAATCAGAAACAAAGTTGAAGCCCATCAAATGATGAGCAAACTGGCTGAATGTGCTGGTACATGAATGTACCATACTGGTGAACTATAAGAAATTATAAATATGAAGAACTCAAGGGAACATGGGGAAAACTTGTATGAGCTGATGTAAAACAAAGTTACAAAACCAGAATAATTTACATGATGAGCACAATAATGCAAAGGAAGTAATGAAAGACAGAAGAGTTCTGATCCATCCAGTCAAGACTTCACAGGACAGATAACGTAGTAATCTTCCTCCTACCGGAAAAGAGGTAGGGGACTGTCAATGCAGAAAGAGACACAGAATGCCAGAAAGCTGTGGTGATTTGTTTCACTTAACTATACTCCTTTGTTACAAAAGACGGTTCTGTGGTAGGGGAGAGTCACTGGGAGTGGCGGCAATGTTTTAAAAGAGTTATCAATAAAATGTTTATTCTAAAAATTCTGGTAAGAGCAATAGGGCAAAGCAGCCACGTGCACAGTCACACCTTTTAATTTAACGTGTGTACAAAGCATGGTCATGTAGGGGGGAAAAAAAAGACAGACCACCATAAAAAGCACACTTGTGAACTCCCTGAGGTTTATTTCAGTGTCGTTCTTGGGGGCTACAAAGTTGGCTTCATTAATTTTTTAAAAGTTATGACACCAGGCCTGCTTGCCATCTGGGAAGCAGAAAACATAAACGCTTCCTGAAGACACTAGGCTTAAGGGAAACTTTAAGAGGTTAAAAAACTAAAAAGTCTATGAAACTTATGTACTAAGAGGTATCCTGAGCAAAAGCAATCTAGGAAGTAAGAAGAAGCAAAGGGTCAGAAAAATAGTAGAGATTTCCGGGTGGTGAATGAGAATACTAACTGATCCAATATGGCAGCTGACCCACTATGTCCATCCAACTACCATCCCCCTTTCCAGGAGATGAGCTCAGACAAGCACAAAAAATTTGTCTGAACAACTCTAAGATAAACCAGTTGGCCCTCCTTAACAGTTCCCAGCTAGACAGTTCAATCTTGAAAATATCCCTGCTGTATCAGAGCTAAACCAATTCCAAGTAAAGGCGATATTGTTCTCGTCCTTAAGGCACGTTCAGTCTGAGGACCGTCTCCCACGAAAGAGAGAAGCAGGTACGCAGATTTCTAAAATGTTATAATAAGATAGATTTATTTTTTTCAAATGGCTAGGAAAACAGTATTTAAAGGAACCCTATAGTGAATCCTTCTGTAATGTGAATACCGCGCCTCCACCATAAATCATCTATTTTGTAGATGCAGATTTGTATGCAGCTAGATTCCAATTAATGCCCATGAATCTCCTGAAACAGTGACACTAAACAAATCCTCACCGCGTATCTCCATTGTGCTGACATCCAAGACCATACTTGACACAATTTTGTCTTCAAATAGTACAAATTCTAATACATGTGACACTTCTGGGGAATTTATTAGTCATATTAATTGGGATTTAGCTGTGGATCATGGCATGTCTGAAGGCAAAAGTTAGGGGGAAAAGGGTCACTGAACTGGCTCTTAGTAAGCTCAGATGAGCCAGTGACCGTTCAGAGCATTTTTCCCTAAAGTCACAGAATGTCTAAAGTGAAAGGAACCTCAGGGGTCACTTAGACCAAGGTTTCTTAACCCGTTTTGGGTCGTGGACCCCTTTGACATTCGAGAGAAGACTATCACTGTGACTTGTTGTCCATGTTCCTGACTGAAAGAAATTTCAGTTAGAGGTTAAGAAAGAAAAAAATGTAATTTTCCATGATCTGGGCTTAATACAAGGAAAGTGGAAAGGGTGACCTTGGGAGGGGTGGATTCCTTTTCCCCGGGGGTCTTCCAGCAAAGGCTTGGTGGCAACTAGCTGAGGGTGGTGTGATGAGGATTCTTTTCTGTGTTTGGGTTGCACTAGATAAATCAATCACAAGCATTTACTAAGGACCTCTGGCGTTCCAGACTCTGTTAGAGGCACCACGGATTAAGAGCAATCATGAAACAGTATCTGTTCTGGAGGAGCTTACGGTCCTTCACTGAGACAAACGAACATTTGTAAGTTCGCACATAATACCTATGTGATAAAGGCCTGGGGAAGGATTTTCAGCCTCAGACACTTACTGGCTGTGTGGCCCTGGGCAAGCCATTTGATCTCTGTCTGCCAGCTGTGAAATGAAGATAATAATCACGCCCACCTCCCAGGGTGGTTGTGAGAATCAAACGAGACGATATTTGTAAAGTGCTTAGCCAGTGCCGGGACAGTACTGAGGCGGCTTAATGAATGCTCGCACCCTCTCGTTTCCCTCCTAAGTGGTTTCCTTTTTTCAAATCTCTCTGTCCAAATTAACGAGATACAGTCAAAGCAATATTGTGGGGCAAGTTCCCACCCTTGAACACTTGAAAAAAGAAAGTGAAAATTAGCTGAGTTTGTAGTTCAAAGACAGTAGAAAAATCAGCAAATTAATACACCAAAAGCAAGCACAAAGCAGGAAAAGTTAAAAATTCAGAAGTAAATAAAATAGAAAACTTTAAAAGTTATTTCATCAAAAGAAGGGGGGGTGCAGCTAGGTGGCGCAGTGGATAGAGCGCCGGCCCTGAAGTCAGGAGGACCTGAGTTCAAATCTGGCCTCAGACCCAACACTTGACGCTTACTAGCTGTGTGACCCTGGAAAGTCACTTAACCCCAAATGCCTCCCCCACCAAAAAAAAAGGAGAGAGGGGGCAGATCAAATTACCTAAAACAGAAATGAACAAGTGAATGTTCATTTTCATGTTCATGTTCACAATGATTCAAAAGAAATAAAAACTGTTCAGGGGTCATAGAATAACAGATCTGGAACTAGCAGGAACATTAAGCATTCATGTTACATAACCCCCTGATTTCACAGATAAGGAAACTAAGGCTCAGAGACATTAAGTGACTCACACAGCCAACGAGCAGCAGGGTCTGGAATTCACACTTGGGTCCTGTGACTCCATGCTCTGTGCTCTTTCCACCACGCCGCTATGATGGCACTACGCCACTATGCACCACATAACTACATGTTCTAAGTCCTAGTTAGCCTATGTGCTATAGTCCTACTTATAGGAAAGCAAAACTGAGGATCTAAAAGAAATGGACAAATATTTACAAAACTAGAAAATGTCAAAGTAGGCTTTGAAAGAAGATTCAGACCATCTAAATACATCCTCAGAAGAAGAATGAGATGGGTCATTAATGAACAGCCCCATTAAAAGGAACTAGGGCCAGACTAAGGCACAAATGAATTTCTTCAAACATTCCAAGACTTAGCTCCATTCCAAACAAACTGATTTCAAAAAGGGGTGAGGGATAATATTCTACCTCATTCTTTCTAGAAGTCAAGCGTCGTTCTGATCCCCAAACCTGGCAAGAACAGAAAAAGAGAAAGAGAAACATAGGTAAATATTATTAGTGAGTAACAGTACAAAAGTACTGAATAAAATACTGGCAAAAGAGGACAGAGGACCAAAATAAGTGTTTAATAATAAATTAGCTAAGTTGAATTTAACGTGTTGAACAATGGAATGAGAACCTCTTCAAATCAACAATGGAATGAAGAGCCTCTTGCGAGATAACCAATAGTGACCTTTCTTAGCACAGGTCTGGCAATGTCATTCTGCTCCTCCTGTCAGCAATCTGGCTCCTATCTTTCAGGACTTATTTTCCATTCCTCCTCCTCATGAATTCTACATTTCAGTCTCACTGACCTACTTGAGTACACAAAATTCCATCTCCCACCTGAAAGCTTTTGCACAGGCCACTGCCCATGTCTGGCATGCCTTCTCTCACCGGCTCTGCCTCTTCGAGTGCCACCTCCTACGACAGACCTCTCCTTATTCCCCCAGTAGTTAAGTGTCTACCCACAAATTACTTGGCATTTATGTCATATTTATCTCTGTAGATGTTTTATTTTTATCTTTGTATTCCTTTGCATTTCCCAGTGCCTGGCACACAGTAGGTTCTTAATAAAGGCTTTTTGAACGTATTCTTATTGAACTGAATTAAAAATTATCTAATATGACCAACTAATATTTACATCAGGAATACAAGTGTGGTTCAATATTAATCAAACAATCAGTATAACAAATCATATCATAGGAAGATTATAAAAATGGAGGGAGAAAAGACCTTTGATAAAAATGCAGCAATCTTTTATGTTAAAACCACATACTAAAATATAGAAATGGAAGGATTTTCCATTAACTTTAAAACAGCTTTTTAAAATTAAAAAAAAAATGCAAGCTTATCATCATAGATAAAAACTGTGTCACTAAAGAAACATGGTCTGATTTTCCCATCAAGTGTACACTAAGTGCTAACATCTACCACAGAAGGTGTTAATTAAGCAACAACAAATTAATTTGTGCTAGTCACAGTTCTAGGGGTCTTAGGTATGTGTGGCCTTTCTTCCAAAAAAAAAATCCAAAACAACCCAGAAGGTGTCTGCTGTATATGTGTACAATGCTCATTCCCTTGTGTCAGAACTCTAAGCAGCTTCCATTTTCTGAGAGCTCAAGGCCGGGTACAGAAAACTTTGAATGGTACACATAACCTTTTCTGGGTTTCTGAACACCTTATCCCTGGAGGAGGTGCAGTAAGAATGGGAATAGCAAGAAAAGGAAAGCAGCAAGGGGGACCCAATAGAGAGATGAAGGAGAAATAAGGCTTTCCCAGGAAAGCAAGTAATTCCCAACTCTAAATGACAAGGTCCTACAGTCAAAGTCCACCGAATTTCAGAAGCACCTGAAGGAGGAACTCCTGTGCAAAGGTCCTGTAATAAGGCATTTTAATTACTGTAAAATCAGAATTCTCAGCGCTCAGAATAATCTGATTCTCCTCTTTCTGCACAGATATTTTAAATTCATGCAAAGCTACATAACATTTTAAATAACCTGTTATCTGGCCTCCTGAACTCTCTCAGAAGACAGATTTCAGAGTTAAAGATCATATAGTCCAGGAACCTAGCACCTCCATTCTAATTGCCTTTCCCTACAAGCAGAAGGAAGACAAGAGGACAGAGCCTATCTTATAAGCTACCTTGAATACAGGGGAGGTTGGGAGGGAGAAGGGGAGAGACAGGGGCACAGAAAACCTTGGTGTAGTGTGGGTTCACTTGCAATGAGAAAGCTCAGCACCAGGAGTAACAGCATGAGTTGTGTGGGAGATGAAAGGCTTCCTAGTGGGAGGCGAACAGAACAGCAAGTAAAGGAAGACAGGCATAGGTTGGTAAAGAGAATTCAGTATGAGCTGTCTAGAGCAAGGCAGTGACCAGGGAAACCAGCAGAGCAAAGCTCTTACCAAAATGGGCAGTGAAATGGACAACGGGTGACCCTTTGCTTTACACCTGGGATGGAAAGAAGACAGAATGAGGCAGCTAACAGACTTCTGAGAGCCAAGCATAAGAACCTGGGCCAGGAAAAGACTGGGCTCACATAAAAGGCAGCAATGGAATAGGGGAGAAGAAACTGAACTTGGAGTCCTGGGTTCAAATCTTGGCTGCTCTACCTGTGCAACCTTGGGCAAATCACTTTCTTTCTCTGATCCCAAATTTCTTCTACCTCTAAATTCTCCGGCCCATGACAGGCATTGGGCTATATAGGGAGCACTGGGGCAAGAATGAAATGGTGTGGCTTCTAGTCCTGGCTCTGTCCCTGCTACAATGATATAACCTGGGACAAGTCATTTTATTCGTCTGTTGGGAACTCAAGTTTCTTCATCTGTAAAATGGGGGTTCAGATTAGATGATCTCCAAGATCTCCAAAATATTTTCATTCTGTGACCATATGAAGCTACCTAGGCCCAGGCCTTTCCTCCTTCTAACTTGGGTTCCCAGTAAGGGAAAACACATTATCAACAAGCATTTTTGAAGCCTCTACTCTGTGCAAGCCCTACTCTCAAGCAGCTTATATTCTAACAACTAACCTGAAGGAGGCCAGGCCCCTTTGAGAGAGCTCTTATTATGAGGAAAATCTTTCTGGAAACCTGCTTCTGCAAACTCACTGCTCCAAGTTACATCCTCTGGGATCCAGCAGACCTCTGTTACCTTTTCCGCAAAACAATCCTTCAATGTTCTTGAAAAGAGCAGTTGTGTCCATCTTAAGTCTTCTTTAGACTAACATCCCCCATTCCTAATCTTCGTCCCCTCCAAATGATACAGTGATGGCATGGTTTCCTGAACTCTCATAACCCTGCACACCCTCATTCTTCCTAACTCCATCTCCCCAACACTTCTGAAAAGGAAGGCCAAATCAGGATCATTCTAATGACTCATGATGGGAAATAAGATGGTGCCAAAATTATATCTGTTTAAATGATGATCAAAACTGGACATATTTAGAAGAGTGGCTCAAGCTCCCTGAAGTCTCGTTTCATTTCCTAAATATGCCCTATTTTAACTTAACTATTTGAGTCTGGACTGTGCTAGTCTTCTGAATGTTTTAATTTCCTCTGTGGGATACAGAGAGGCACATAAAAAATGTGCTCTAAATCTGTTTTCTAGAGAACATACTCAGTAACTGTATCATTAAAACAAGGACCAGAGGGAGGCACAGCTAAATCCCAGGAGAAGGGACTCCAGGCACCAATAATTAGAGGAGAAGCTCTTTCTTCATGTCCAAAGTAGCCATGTGGATCACCCTTACAGAGTCAGCTCTGACACCCTTGGCAATGGGGGAACCCTTCACCTTAACCAAGATTCCAAAGGAAACTTTGAAGCTAGAGCTCTTAAGGTGATATTAAAAAAACAACAACAATGTGTTTTTCTAGGTATTTCATTGGTATTTCTAGGGATTGTGGATGGACCTGTGATTTCATTAGTACAGGCAGGGGCCTCCTAGGTGAGAAAACTCCCACCAGTACAGAACACCTTTGCAACTTAGTCCTAAGAGAGGGGTCCAGGGCACCCAGAAGGTTCCCAGGCCAGAGCTTCCTCCACTACATCGCTGTGTGTCCCTTGTGGTAGAACACCTCAAGTGCTGATATTCGGGTTCTTGAAGAATTACTCATTTATCATCTGCCATTGAGCTTCCTTCAAACAGCACATCTACCTCTTAGGTATTTTACAGGAAGTATCACAGGAGAATATACAAGAGTAAGAATTAGTCTCCACAGTACCTTCCAACTCTCAGACCCTTTCAAATTCTGATCCTCCAGTCACATTTGCCACCTAGGTAACTGGACCGTATAATGGAGACAGAAAGCTGGGTCTACAGTCAGGAAGACCTGAATTCAAATGTGACTCAGACACTTACTAGCTGTATGACCCTGGACAAGTCACTTAACCTCTGTTTGCCTCAGTTTCCTCAAATGTAAAATGGGATGATAAAAGCACCTACCTCCTAGGGTTGTTACAAGGGTCAAATAAGATAATATTTCTAAAGTACTTTAAGCGTAGCAGGTGCTGAACAAATGCTTATTGACTTCCTTCCCCCTTTCTTGAGTCCCTCCTCCCTAAACGTTTTCTTGGCCTAAGCCTTGGTATTAACTCAGTTCTAGTCACATGAATTTGTAGCTGGCTGGCCAGAACTGACCTTTAGAGACCTCGGGCCCTTACGAGGTGTTTCTTATTTGTGCCCTAACTACCTTCAAAGACTAACCCGCTTTCTTACCCTGAACCCACATTCCCAGGTGGGTCAGCCCCCAGTACTCTGAATGGCTGCGCTAGCTAAGCCAAGAGGAATATTCATAGGCTGACAGATATTGGACATTTTTTTTTGAAACTAGTTCTTAGCCAGTGGTCCAATCACTTCCTTACCTCAAAAGTCATGAGTGATTAGCCCTGCTTAGGCCTCTCTCCCCAGGGGGAAATCCTCCAAGCTACATTTTATTGCTGTCATTATGTATAATAACATGGAACACATTCACAAACATGCCCTGTCCTACCATAATTGAGCAGGATTATTTCACCCAAGGTAAATTTAGAACAGGAGTAATAAATGAAATGTCAAAATGTTGTTTAATAGTTTAAAGTTAATCTGGAGGGAGATCTCTAACTGACATTGCTGTAACAGCTCTGTCCTTGGCCCTGTTTACCAAAGGGTAAATAAATTAATAAAAAGTTATTAATGACTTGAATGAAGACTTTAATGGTGTGCTTTTCATATCTGTGGATGACAGAGATGATGGCTAACACAGTGGATAACACATTTGGGATCTAAAAAGGTCTTATAAGCCTGAGGCAATGGACCAACTCTAATAAAATGGAATTTGATGGGGGGGGAAATGTAACATTATAGGATCACTGCCTTATAATGATGCAAAATCTAGAGCTGAAAGGCATCTTATAGGTCGTCTAGTACAAACCACCTCATTTTACAGATGAGGAAACTGAAGCTTGGGGAGGGTAACCCAAGTAAAAGCTGGGAATCGAGTTCCACACTAGTCAGCCACACAAACATGGGATTAGAGTAATGATTTAACATTAACTCATATGAAAAATACTTCAGTGTTTAAATTGCCTAGAAGCCTAATATGATCCAACAATGTGATAGCACTATTAAAAGAAAAAAGGTAATATATTCTTGGGTTGCATCCATAGGAGTGAAGTATACACAGTCCTACACACACTGGTCAGATCCCATCTGGGGCAGGGTCAGTCTCGGGCACACTGACAAAATGGAAGGAGGGCAACTAGGATGGGGAAGAGTCTTGAAATCTGTTCACAAGAGTAATGACTGTGGGGACTGTGGATGTTTAGACTCAAAAAAAGACTTGATGGGGACAGATGAGGGAGAAAAAAATGGCTGCCACCACCAGCATCAAATATCTGAAACCCCCAGCCCCTAAGAAGAATCAGACTAATACTTTGCAGCTCCAGAGGGAGGAACTAGGGCTGGGGCAGAAGTTACATGGACAGATTTCAGCTCAATATAGAGAATTCTGTAATTGTCAGAGCTTTCTAAAAATGGAATGGGCTGCCTTGAAAGGTAGCGAGCTCTCTATTTTAACAAGTGTTAAGGCAGAAACTACTAAATAGAATACTGTAGGTTATTTCTAGAAGATCTGCTAATGTGTACTTGAACTCTAAAATTCTATGGCTCTGGGAGAAAGAAGATGCAACTTAAAAGAAGCAGACACAGTTCCACAAAGTGCCTAAGCTGGATATTCTGTGAAAAGAGGAACCCCCTCTTCCATACAACCAACCTCGTAATGCAAACTTATGAATCCTAAACAACAGGCCCTTCTGAAAAGAACCCACAAGTACTAAGCCTCTGGTAAGAGTTTTAATTTCTTCTGCCCACAGTGGCAGGGGAGGGGAAACAGTCTTGCTTACTCAGACTTTGTCCCCCCTTTTCCTCTTCATCGTCAGGAGGACCTGAGTTCAAATCCAGCCCGAGACATTTACTAGCTGTGTGACCCTGGTCACATCACTTAACACTGTCTGTCCTCAGTTCCTCATCTGTACAATGAGCTGGAGAAGGAAATGGCAAGCCCCTCTGCCAAGAAAAGCTCAAATACAGGTCACGGAGAGTCAGATATGACTAAAACAACTAGACGATAACAACGAATTATTCAGCAAAGATAAACTCACTACTTGAGTTACAAAAAGGAATTATGTCAATTCCCAGGTTTCGCCTTCTTAAAGTGGCACCATGCCCTTTATGTCCAGCAACACTTGAGGAGCTGTCTGCCCCTCTCACTTATAACAGTCCTTGTCTGAAGCCTGGGCCACAAGCTGGAGGGCAGATCAAACCGTGTTCAGGAGAATCCTAATGCCCAGAGAAAGAAGGCAGCCAATAGGCCAGAAAGGGCCAGCCGAGCACTACTTCCCACAACTGAAGGCCAAGGAACAGATCTGGGGAGGAAAGTACATACCTCGTGCAGGTCTCTCCAAATGATGCCCTGGCCATCAGCTTTGGAAATATATAGAAGGCATGTTCCAAAAGTCGTAGTACAGTTTTATGCTACTAAAGTGTGTGTGTGTGTGTGTGTGTGTGTGTGTATACACATGTACGTATATACACACACACACACACACACACACTTATGTTACATATGTATATGCACATATAGGTATGTATGCACACATATATAGCCCAACATACTCTATTAAAGAGGAAGACTCCGATCTAGATGTGGGAATAATGCTCAATTTGGAGGTCAGAGGACTTGGGTTCAAATCCTACCTTGGGCAAATTCCTTCATTTCTCTAACTCTCCATTTCTTCCTCTATAAAACGAGGGGACTGGACCAGAAGAACTTTTAAGTCCCCTCCAATTCTAAGTCTACGAGCCATGAGACCCTGGCCAAGTCACGTGCTGATTATCTGATGCTGATACACTGCACAGCTATGGTCCCCCAATTAGAACGGGAGTTCCTTGAGAACAGGAGCTGTCTCATTTATCTAATTATAACCGCAGCACTTAGCACATAGTAAGTGCTTAATAAAAACTCCATTCATTCATCCCTAGGGTCGATTTCCTCACCAAGACACTATCATTATTCAGTACAATGCTCTCCTTTCCCCCTGATATTTTACAGATGAGAAAACTGAAGTCTAGAGATCAGGTGACCTTCCCAAGGTCACAAGCTACTTAACAGCAGAGCCAAACCAGAACTCAGGTTTCTGGCCTCTAGTCTAAGTATTTTTCCCTTTCTTGGTCCTCTAATTCTATGATTCTTAACCAAGTACTATACTGTAATTCTGCATCGTTGTAATCACATATTACAAACCTCTGTGAGGAGCCCAACGCCCCACTATTTATTTATTTATTCATTTGTTTGTTTTTTAAAAGTACACCTAATAAGTAAATATGGTAATGTTTATCTAAACAATAGTGATTTATAATCACCTTATGCTAGTTACTTATTAGCTCCCTCAACATTTCAAATCATAGAATCTCAGGAAGCTGGAAGGGGCCTCAGACACGATAAGAAGGATTCCTTCCCAACATACCCGAGTAATGCCCCACTATTTAAAACGCACCCTTTCTATGAGTCTCACATTTTGCTCAAGTCCTGGCGCCCACAAATCATGGTCCACATTCCAAACACAGCTCAAGCTGGAAGTCTTTGTCCCCAGGACAATGGCTGACTTATCTCCCGCCATGAGTTTCCCCACCTTTGGCCCCAACCTTTGATTCTACATCACCAAACAGAAGCAAGGTCTCAATTTCACTCGTCACTCAAACCCCTGTCAATCTGACTGCAGCTGTTCACAGCCCAGTCATCAGGATGTGTTTCACCATGAACATCAGGAGCTGACGACCTTGGACGAATCACTTCACCTGGCCTCAGCCCTAAGCACCCTCCCAGTGCTAATATGCTCACAAGATCTGAGTCACTGAGACTCATCCACCTCTTGTGACATAGACTGTTGGGCAGGCATCGGACAACTGCAGCTGGAGTCTGAACCAGCAGCAGTGGGCAAGGGAAAACAGAGGCAAGTTCAAGGCAAGGGGAGGGTCTGGATAAAGCAACACGTCAAGTGCCAGCTCCCGGCCCTGGGCTACCTTGCTGTGATGAGTCCCAGAGCAGGGCCCCGGCTCCTCCGCAGCCCAGACAAATGACAAGAGGCGTGCTTTACGGCAGGTAAATGCAGTCCAATTAAACAGGTGCAATGGAAACGGGCTTATTTCCCAGCTCTGAACAAAGAAAGCTGAACAGCTGGACATGCTGAGAACCTTCTCAGTCACTCCCCCGGCTATGTGGCTTTGTCATTTCATTAAATACTCCACATCTACAAAGATCGTCATGGAGTACAACCACAGAGAGAAAAAACATTTCCCTTCTCCCCAGGCCTCACCCAGAAAACGTGCAGTAAACAAACCCAAGCTATTTTCTTTGTTCACTCAATCTGCCCCATTTATGTCAATTCTGACATCGGCGGCATGCAGTGCTAGAGGTCACTACCTTTCCCTTTTCTGGGGGGCAGACTTTTATAGTAGGATGACTCTTTTGGCAGCTCTGAGGGAGGAACAGAGGAAGAATATGACAGAAATTATGGAAGCAGACTTGAAAGCATCTGGCAAATGGATGAATGTGAAGGGTGACAGTGAGGAGAAAGGAAGAGGGAGAGAGGGACAGAAAGAGACAGAAAACAGGGTGGGGGGACAAACATTTGTTATGCACATACTATGTGCCAGGCACTGTGCTAAACACTTGACAAATATTGTCTCATGAGAGGCCTTAAAGATGATTCTAGGGGCAGCTAGGTGGCACAGTGGATAGAGCACTGGCCCTGAAGTCAGGAGGACCTGAGTTCAAATCTGGCCTCAGACCAAACACTTGACACTTACTAGCTGTGTGACCCTGGGCAAGTCACTTAACCCCAATTGCCTAAAAGCAAAAAAAAAAAAAGATGACTCTAAACTTTCAAACCTGGGGAAATAGGGGTAGTGTCAACAGAAACTGGGATTTATCCCGTAAGAGGCCACTGGTGACCTTGGAGAAGGCAGTTATTGGCCGACTGGTAGGAGCCAGGTGGCAAAAGATTAAAGAGAGAGTGGGTGATGAACAAATGGAGGTAAGAAGAGTCTACTACTTTTCTAAAAGTTTAGCAGTGAAGGGGAGGTGATTTAGGATTCCTGGAGGGGCCAACAGGGAAGTGCTTAAAGACTCTACAAGAAGGAAATGACTAGGCCTGCTAAGAGAGTCTTCCTAACTTTTCCCCCAACCTCCTGTCCCAGTCATAGAAACACCAACCTTATTCAAAACTTTTTAACTAAGAAGAAGTGAAGTAAAGAGGGAAAGGTGGGCAAATGTATTTACAAAATTAGAAAGGAAAAAATGCTCAGTATTTTCAGCTTTGCTTTTCTCAGAAGACGTGAAATCTCCCACATATTCACCCGGAAAATACAGGCTCCACCTACCGGCTCTTCTGAAGAAGGCTCTTCCATATTTAAAGGGATCTTAGATTCCACGTCCTCCCACCCAGGAAGATGACCGGCAGCTGCAGTGTTCGTGAGGTTACCGTTTGGGACTTTGACACCATTCCCTCGTTGGCAGGTGGAATCAACATGGTGGAAGAAGAGGCTTTTCTGTGGCATGGGAAGAAACCAGGCCAGTGAAAAAGCCACTGACACACAGGTCAAGGAGATGACATTTAAGCTGAATAGAGACCAGTCCGCCACAGAGATCAGGATCTGGCCCAAGACAGAGCCTACAGTGAAACCCACAAGAGTGGCGCTTCTGCAGTAGCTAGTGACTTTCTGGTACATGCCCAGGTCCACCACACTATAGATGTAGGAATAGTAGGCAATTTCCGTGGCTGTGGCGATGCCATAGAAGAATTCCAGAAACTGAATGGCCAGTAGTCCCTGGGCATAAAGGAGCATGAACCATGTGACAATAAGGCTGAATCCCTGCAGCAGGATGACAGGCTTATAGCGGAGGTAGTCTGTGGCAAGAAATACAGGAAACAGCAGCACCAAATAGGAATAGGTCCAGACTGGGTAAATTTCATTGAAGACCTGGCAGGAAACAATAAGAAATCCTAATTGTCATTCCAGGACCTTGGTTATTCATCATCACGCGATACCCTCAGGGATCCATGCTGTTCTTTCTTTTTTAAAATCCTTATTAATACCATATGTTTTTATGATCACCTTAATTTTCAGATATATCCTTCTACCCTTCCTCTACTTGAAGCCATTCCCTGCAACAGAAATTAGAAGAGAAAAAAACCCCCAAAAAGGTAGCTTGCAAAACTAACCAACATATTAACTGGGTCTGCTAGTATGTACAACATTCCATAACCAGTCCCCCACCTCTGCATGAAAGGAAGGAAAGAGCATTTTTTTGAAAACTCTCTTCTTTGGGGTTAAGCTTGGGGATCCACGATTTGTAGTGTGGGTACTCTCTCCTCCCCAACATATATTGTAGTCTCTTACAATGTGGCAGAGGTGACTTCTGAGGGCTGATATAGCAAAAGAATTCAGAGGCAGCTAGATGGTGCAGTAGATAAGAGTGCTGGGCCTGGAGTCAGGAAAAATTGAGTTCCAATCTTGGATTCATACTAGCTGTATGACCCCAGAGTGAGTCTCTCTACCTCAGTTTCTTCATCTTTAACAATGGGGGATCATAATAACACCTGCATCGCAGGGTGATGAGATATTTGTAAAAGTGCTTGGCACTGTGCCTGGCACATGGTAGGTGCTTAATAAATGCTTTCAAAAAAGGTGGTCTCCCTAAGGTCAATCTGGTGACAAACCCTCTTCAAACTGTTAATGGGCTGGTTTGTGAAGGGCAGACATTACCGCCCGTCATCAAGCCTTTCTAGCTTGAGAGAACCTGTCAGAGTTTGTGTTCCACTGGCACAGTCTTTGAGAACCCCAGGTTCACCTTCAGGAAACGATAAGGTATCAAAGGAAGACTTCAGTGTCAGCGTGGTACAGTAAAAAGAGCTTTGCATTGAAGTCAGAGAACCTGGTTCAAATCCTGCCCCTGGTACTAACTAGCATTATATGACCTTGTCCAAGTGACTTAACTTCTCTAGGCTTCAGTTTTTGCATCTGTAAAATAAGGAGGTAGGACTAAATAGGTTTTAAGATCTTCTAGCACTCAATACATAATTCTGTTATCATCCATTCATTCCTACAGCAACCTATCAGGACACTGTAAATATAACCCTGTGTTATCCCTGATCAATAAAAAGATCTACAGCCTCACACTCCCGTTAACCCCCAAGTGCAGTTTTCTGATCTGGCCCCAGCATTGCTAACGGGAGATAGTGCGGGAGGACTGGAAGAGGTTAAAGGTTAAGGCCTCGGTACACTTCATTGCTGACAGCTACTTCCTTCACTTGCAAGTGATTAAAAATAGGGGAGAAAAATAATGTAAGAGGTAGACTACCTGTGAAACCTGAATTAGCTCTCACTTAACTGTACAAATTGACAGCCCCCAATCTCCCAACATTCAATAAAGCAATAATATTTTCACTGTATTATTTTTGCTTCCTTGTACCCATACCAACTTCCGGCAGGGATCTAGGCCATGCAGAGGCCAGCAGGGTGTATGTAGGTAAGTAGGTGTTACCTGTTTTTATTTTTAAAAACAAAATTATATTTATATTTTAAAAAAAGATATCCCTTATAACAATGAATATAAAACAGAACCCCCTCCCCCAGCAAATGTAACCAACCTTTTAGACTAGGAGACAGTCTTCTTATCAGTAATGTTCCAAGACCTCCGGGGCCACCTCTGCAAAGAGGTATGGGAAGTGACTTTTCACCTCTTCTCTGGGGCTAACCTTGGTTATTACCACTTCATTCCACTCAGTCTGGTTTTCCTGTTGTTGTTCTTTGTATTCCCACTGTTAAAGTCACTGTGCGTAATGTTTTCCTGGTTCTGCATACTTCGTTTTTCAAAAGCAAGTCTTTCTACACTTTTCTAATATTCATCACGTTAACTGTTTCTTACACTACAGTAACCGTCCCTTAGTTCATATATCCTAGCTTACTAGGATGTTCTCCAGCTGACAGGCATCAACTTTGTGCCTAGTTCTTTGCTACCAGAAAGAGTGTTCCTGTAAATGCTTTTGTGCACATGGGCAATTTCTTTTCTTTTTTTTTTTTTAATCATGGCCCCATGGGGCTTTACCTAGCTGTGGAGTCTCTGGTCAAAAGGTAAGAAGATTTTAGTTATTCTCATAAATTCAAAGTGCTCTCAAGAATGACTGGACTGATTCACAGTTCCAATGGTACATTAGTGTGCCCATCTTTTCCCAACTCTTCCCACAGTGACTATTTTCCTCTTTTGTCACTTAGCCAGTTTGCTGGGTAAGAGGTGAAACCTCAGAGCTGTTTTAATTTTAACTTTTCTCACTATGAGTGATTTGGAGCATGCTTTTTGTTAATAATTTATAATTCTCCTTTTGAGCATTTCCTCGTTCATATCCTTTTACTAGTTACCTGATGGGAAACGGCGTTTGATTTTACATATGTCAGTTATCTATATGTAATTTGGATATCAGATCCTTATCAATGATATTAATGCTATCTGATTCAAAGATTTTTCCCAGTCAACCACTTCCCTTCTCATCCTAACTGCACTGATTTTGTTCCTGCCAAGTTTTTCAATTTTAACATAAGTGAAATTATTTATTTTATCCTTCTTAACCACCTCTCTCTCTTACTTGGTTAAGAATTTGTCCCCTAGCCAAAGCTGTGAAAAGGTCCTTAGAGGCCATTCAGTGGAACCTCATTGTACAGAGGAGGAAGTGGTGCCCCACCCAAGATTACACAGGTGGCAGGAGGGGGTAGCAAGGCCCAGATGAGAGCCCAGGTTCTTGGGCCAGATCCAGCAGCAGCTCCACTGCACAGTGCTGACAATGAGAAGAACCTTGGCTCACTCTGAGAATTGGCTTAACAGCCTGGAAATTCTCAACAGTCTAATCCTTTCTCTTATTTAAACCATCCTGAACCTCAGTTCCTTTATAAAACAGAACGAAACCATATCTCAGATCAAGGCATAATAAAGCCAATGACTGTAAAAATGGCTGGTATCAAAGCAAAAGTATAATTATCCTACGTAGTTATAAAAATTACTGTACTCCCAACTTCATCTGTGACTGAGCTTAACAGCAAGGATAACAACCCTTATTTACTAAACCTGTCTGTCTGTGTTGTCAATCACAGATTCACAACAGCTGAAGAACAAATGAGAAAATTATCAAGTACTTTGAAATTTTCAGGCCAAAGCAGGGAAATCTGGCAGATAAGGAACCAAGTGGCTGATAATGCCAAACAGAAAATCAAATAAAAGAGGGAGAGGTAACCTCCAGAGCACTCCAAGAAGGGAAAGGCACCAAAGACGACAGCGGCCCCTCAAGTTGTCATGGGTGTTCAGGTCTGAGGCTTCACCAGCCTTTTCCTGTTGAGAAGCCTTCTGGACTCAGAGCTTCATTCCCATTTATCCTGTTTACAACCTCTCTCATCTGACTTTCTTTACCTTCAAAACCTCTTCCTCGACTTTGTCTCCACCACTGATCACCGTCATTGTTTACAAAATATCTTTTAGTGTTTATTTGTTCCTCTTCCATCTGGCCTTAAGCCTCTCGGGTCCTCCACTCCAAACACTATCTTCAGGACCTAGATATCACATATGGTAATAGCTATCCCCTGAAGATTTAACTTAACTGGTCAATTTTGGACAGAATAAATCGAGTTCTTCTGATCATCATTCCAAAATCTTGTACTTACCAGCTTCTTGTCATACATATAACCGATGTTTGGCAGATAAAGCAAAGTCTGATTAGAAGCAATAGATCAACCATCTGTGTAACCAGCCACTGAGCCTAACAGAACTTCCTCAGATGATGATTAGACAGGCATCTCTTAATTTACCCTGACCAGGAGTAAGCTAATTACCAGGGCATTCAGGACAAGAAGGATTTCCCTAACTTGGTTCTGTCTGTAACTGACAAGGGAGGCAATATTCTAGGAGCATTCACAGAATGATAAGGAAAAGGCTTCTGCCAGCGCCCATGATTACTTTGCTACAGCTGCATGGCCGAGGAAAAGTTCCTCCCCTTCAGGGTCCAGGAAGAAATGACTTCAGACCAGGAACTGCTTTTAGAAGGTGACCCAGAATCTCAGAAAAGTGTGGGAGGCAGATTTTCCCCCAGACAAAATGCACGAGTTGTATTAGCTCTTCTTTAACAGCTCATTTCCCCCACCAGAGTGTCTCAGGTAATATCTACCACGACAAGTGAAACTACCTTTCTCTACACCAGGTCTGTGGATCTAAGCTTGCCTTCTTCCTCCAGTGCTAGACACACCAAGACAAGCTAGATGAGTAGTTTTAGGGTCCATTTCTGGATATTGTTCTGTCTTTTTTGAAAGGAAAAACTAAACAAACTAACTCACAAAACTAGAAACCAATACCCAAAGGAGAAAAGTGTGATAGCAAAGGTTATTTTGGCCTACAGAAGTGAAAGCTGGCCTGCAAAGAAGGCACGTTCTAGCTGTGTGATCCTGAGCAAATGCCTTACACTCTGGGCTTGAGGCAGCTAAGACCATGTTGATCGGCCTTGGTAAAGTTCCTCACTGACACCAAAGGAATTATAGGTCTATTTTTTTTTAAATGGTATCTGAAACTTAATATTTTCTAAAAGATGACTAGTTCTTTATACTCTAGAGTAGAAGTGGGGAACTTGTGGCCTCAAGGCCACATCCCACAGATTCCACAACTTCAAGAGATCAGAGAGGTCCTCTGGCCTAACCCCCTCTTTTTCCATGTCAGAAACTTGAGGCACACTGAGATTAAGTGATCACATAGCAGCAAGCTATCAAGTCTGCATTTGAACCCGGGTCCTCCCTCCCTTTAAGCTGACAGGCACTGATTCATTTGAAATGTTGGGTTTGAACAGGTTCTGATCAGGTGGCGTCTGACCATCCAAAGGTCACTTTTTGGAGGTTAATGAAATGACAGGTAAATCCTGTCTTTTTACCCTCTTCGGACAAAAGTAACAACACTTCTGTTTTAAAACATCCACCTTGTGGTTCCTCCTATTGGCTTTAATTCTTACTTATAACATCATTAATGTGAAAATATGTTTAATAGGAACGTATATGTATAGCCTATATCAGATTGTGCACCGTCTTGGGGAGGGAGGGGGGGAGGGAGGGGGAGAAAATTTAAAACTCAAAAGCTTATGAAAGTGATTGTTGATAAAGAAAAAATAAATTAATAAACAAAAGTAAAAAAAATAAAATAAAATATCCACCTTGGCATTCCAGTAATCAACTGGGAGAAACAAGCACTTTAACTCACAAGGTAATACTGCCAAGATTTTACAAATGACAGCTGTTTTTACTTAGGAATTCTGTGACTTTTTTTTGTTTAGCTGCCCATACCTGATGATTACAACATATCGGGAAGGAGGGGAGGGAAGGAGGAAGTACTGTTCTGTTTCCATTTCAGTTATTAGCTGTTCAAAAATCCCAGGTGGGAAATGTCTCCTGGAGCAGGACAGTGTCAGTCATAACAGAAATGACTCAGTGATCCAGGAAACCTTCCTCACCAGGCAGGCCCTGCGCCCCATCCCCCAAGCTACATCTGGCCCTAAAACCTTGCACCTCCTTTCCTTATCCATTCTGCAAAAGGAGTGGTGTGCTCTCATTACACAATAAGGAAACAAACACTGACTGTGCTCAGCACTGCAGGTCTATTTTGAAGTCTCAACTCCAAACATGCCTTGCTCACCCCAGGAAGCTCTGAGACAACAGTGGGCACACGATGGCCTACCCAAGAACAGCCCGTGTCCAGCACACGTGACCCAGCAGATCAGTTGTCAAATATCAACACAGAAGGGCTGTGCACGACCCCTCCCCGACCCCACCGCTCTGTCACGGAAGGTGCACTGGAATAGTGCGGATCCCAGCGCTGCTCTCCAGAAAGTTCTCTGGGTCTTAGTCATTTCACCTAAAAGAAACATGAGGGGGGGCCCAGGCGATTTCCAAGGCCCCTCCCACCCTAAAATTGCTTGTGATTCAGTGAAATGACTACCAACTTACTGGAAAGTGAAAAGAAAACCAGCAAAGGAGTCAGGGGAACCAGTTCAAATGCTCCCTGGAGGATCACTTTGCCTCCAAAGGTCTCAGTTTCCTCACCTATAAAATTAGAAGACTGGGTTAAGTGATCTCCAAGACCCTTCTACTCTAAAATTTTATATGGCTCTAGGAAGTGAGTCCAGCTACATCTATGAGCAGGGGATCCTGTTATCATAGGTCCTCTACCTCAACTGGGACAACGAGACTCAAAACAGGCTTCTCATACCCAGGGCCTCCTGTTGTATGAGTATACTGGGCAGAAAATTCTGAATCCTCAATGTGATAATATTATGATAATAATAATATGATAATATTGATTATATGATAATAAGAATAATGATAACATATTATAATGATATAATAATAACAATAATAACATTTATATAGTGCCTTAAGGTTTGCAACTGTTTTACATACATTACTGAGCTATCTCAACAACAATTCATTTATATATATAGTGCCTTAAAGTTTGTAACTGTTTTGGGGGCAGCTAGGTGGCGAAGTGGATAGAGTATCGGCCCTGAGGTCAGGAGGATCTGAGTTTAAATCTGGTCTCAGACCAAATACTTGATACTTACTAGCTGTGTGACCTTGGGCAAGTCACTTAACCCTAATTGTCCAAAAAAAAAGTTTGTAACTGTTTTATATACATTATTGAGCTATCTCAACAATAATCCATTTATATAGTGCCTTAAAGTTTGCAACTGTTTTACATACATTATCCAGCTATCTCATTATGGGCACCTTTCATCTCAGTAATTTTTTTTTTTTACTAAACATTAAGACAAGCAATGACTTTTCCAGCTTCTTTTCAGGACAAAAACAGCTGTGAGACATATGCTCCATGGAGACAGAGGCTTATCTAAAATTCTGCATTTTCCTTTCCTGTTTCAATTACAGGGGACTCTTTAACTTCTCAAATTCCTCTCCTCAAGCATACCTGAAAGAAAAAAGTAAAAACCAAATAGCAAAACAGCCACTCTGGTGGCTCTGAAAATGGATGAAAAATTACAGCCACTGACAAATGGGAGTAATTACACCCTGTTGGTTTATAAATGATCCTCGCTGTGCCACTCCCAACCTGACCTGTTGTGCTGGGTGACTGCATATCCAGGTAAGAGGTGACCAGCCACGAGTGAAGGGTCAGGCTTAAACGGATTATCCCATAGCATCCCAGGATAGGGCAAGAAGGGGGAAAGGGCAGAATGAGGGAAAGGGGGATTTTAAGTCACTACTATTCACCCAGTGGTGATGAGGAAGGAGGGGAGCCTCCAAGACCATCATCACCATTAACTGTACCCCAGTAAAACAGTACCATAATAAATGCTTGTTAATTGATCACAAATTTGGAACTGGGGGGATTTCAGAGGCATTCTATTCTGGTCCAACTCCCTTATTTTACAGATCAGAAAACTGAGACACTGAGTAGTTGACTTGTTCAAGGTCAGACAGGTAAAATTTGAATTCACAGCCTCTGACTGCAAGTTTTGTGTTCCTTCCTCGGTAATACATTGGTT